CTATGGAGAAATATACATATGTTGCTAAAAGAAAAATAAACCCCACTGAAAAAACAAAATTGACAAATTTTTAGCTAGAATTCCCAAAGGAGGAAAAAAAAGGAGAAGATTCAAAATATTAAAATCAGGAATGAAAGAGGGGGCATCACTACTGATCTTATAGAAATATAAAAGCATTATAAGGGAATACTGCCAGGCATGGTGGTACATGCCTGTAATCCCAGCACTCAGGAGGAAGAGGCAGGAGGTCACCTTGAGTTCAAGGCCAGCCTGGGCTACATAGTAAGATCTAGTCTCAAACCCCTCCACCCAAAAAAAGGAAATACTGTGAACAACTACATGCCAACAAATTAGATAACTGAAACTAAATGGACAAATTTCACAAAGATAAAAACTGTTTAAACTGATTTAAGAATAAACAAAGATCTGAATATCTGAAACAAAATTAAATTAGTAATAAAAAAGCTTCCTAGAAAGAAAATTCAAGGTCAAATGACATCACAGATTAATTCTACTAAGTGATTTAAAAAACACAAAACACTAATCATCCACAAACCCTTAGGGAACATTTCCCAACATATTTTATGAGACCAGTATTAATATAATACCAATGTCAGACAAAGTTGTTACAAGTAAAGAAAACTACAAAGTAATATCTTTTATTATTATGGATTCCTTAAAATAGGGCTGGGGTGTAGTTCAGTGGTAGAGTGCCTGACTAGCACACAAAAGGCCCTGGATTTGACCCCTAGCACTGAAAAAAAAAAAAATCCTTAAAATAATAGCCAATCAAATTCAGAAACATATAAGGATTATACACTATCATCAAATAGAATTTAGTCCAGGAATGTAAGTTTGCTTAAATATATGTAAATCAATCAGTGTTAACACAGTATACTGGTAAAGAACAAAAACCACACGATCATCATAGTAAATGCAGACAAAGCACTCGACGGCTTTTTTTTGTGTCTAAAAAAAATAAATCAACAAATGAACAGGCTCTATTAGGCCAGTTTTGCAAAAACCTTAGCTAACATATATTTGAGAATGAAAAACTGAAAGCTTGCTCTCTATCTTTAGGAACAAGATAAGAACAGTCACTCTCACCCTTCTACTCAAAAGTTTTCTACAGATTCTACCCAGGGTGGTCAAGAAAAGAAATAAAAGCCATCTGGATTGAAAAGGCAGAAGTAACACTATTTCTATTCACATGACTTTATAGGTAGAAAATCATAATGAATCCAGATACAAAGATATCCATTGTACTAACAATGAGTTCAGCAAAGTTGGAGGATATAAACTCAAAATCAATATACAAAAATCAGTAAAATCAGTTTCACTACTGTACACTAGTAATGAACAATTTGCAAATGAGATTAAGAAAACAATTCCATTTATGGTGGCATCAAAAAGAATAAATATTTAGGAATAACTTTACCAAAGAACTGCAAGACTTGTATAATGAAAACTATAAATCATAATTGATAGAAATTGAGAGCCAAAAAAGAACAAATATACTGTATGTTCATGAAATGAAAGATTGACTTATTATTAAAGATGGCAATATTCCTCAAATTAGTTTACAGATAAAGCACAGCCTCTATAAAAAAAAATAAAAGAAAAATAAAAGAAAAATAAAAGAAAAAACATAGAATATAGCAAAGAAACACACAAGTCAGAAAATGTAAGACAGAAGACCAAAATATCAATCATGACGATAAAGGTCAATGGGTTAAACTCCCTTATGGAATCTCGTAAGGGACAAAATGATTTCAACTTTCTGCTGTCTAGAATATGAAGATGTAGTAGTTACTGACTTTTTTCTTTTCTTTTTTTTTTTTGGTACTAGGGATCAAACTCGGGACCTTGTGCTTGAGAGGCAGGCAGCAGAACCACTGAGCTAAATCCCCAGCTTTGAAGATGTAGTATAGTCAAGCAAGAATTTTTATATACCATTACTAACATTATGCATAATCATATAAAATATAAACTATCGGAAGTACAAAAAAGAAGTTGGCAAGAACACAAAGGCCTTTGGAGGTTTTAACACATTTTCAGTCTTTGACCAGACCAAGAAGGCAAATAATTAGAACAATGGAGCATAGAAAAATCTCATTAAGTGATTGTAAAAATGCAGAAAAATCATGGCAAAGGCAGCCTTAACTATTATAAAAAGAAATTGCTTGCCATATTCTTTGATTACAGAAAAAAGGAAATATTTCCAACTTGTTGGAAATTTAAAAAATATTAAAAAACAACAGAGACACTCAAAGCTAATGTAATCAAGGAAAAAGAATAAAACAACATACAAATAAAAATCAGAAAAATATAGCCACAGTTATGGAGAGATTACCCAGGTAAACCTTATGCCAATCAATTGTAAATACTAATGATGTAGATGATATCCCAGAAGAAAATTAGGAAAATTGACTAAAATTAAGTTACAATAGTTTAAGGGAAAATACTACAGAGAAAATTATAAAATTGCTAAAGCTATTCCTCTTTAGAAAATGCTGGACTCAGTAAACTGATGATTCTTTTAAATTTCTGGGAAATACACAATCCCTATAATTTTTTATAGCACAGATGAGAAACACAGATGTATGTAGGCCCATACATCCAGACTATCAGTGAGAACATTTGCCATTTTTGTTGCTGAACTTTTTATTTACAAAGTATAACAGACAAAATGCTACCTATAAAGTTGAAGTCTCCTTACCCCCGGTCTATTTCCTTCCACCCTAACCCTTCTTATATCTAAATAATAATGACCATCCAAGAGCTCTAGAGCCTTAGGACTATGATATTAGGATGGATTTTTCTTTTTTCTTTTTTTTAGGATGCATTTTTAACTGGTGGAACAAGATGAGTGATGAATAAGTGAAAGAATGGAAAATGCTCAGAAAAAAGTAGGCTGCTATATCACACCAAACTCCAAAATAAATTCCAAGTAAATTAAGGCGTTATTGCAATCCACCTAAACATGCAAAATGGTTAATAAATAACAAAAAATGAAGCAGGGCATGGTGGCGCACACCTGGAATGCCAGCACTCCAAGGCTGAGGCAGGAGGATCACTGAGAGTTCAAGGCCAGCCTGAACTGCATACTGAGAACCCTTCTCAAAAAAAAGCCCACATCCCTGGTTACCAAAAACATACAAATTAACACTGAGAATTACCCTCATCTACCCAACTGACCCTCTATAATTTGTAAAAGATCAAAAAAGGTCCCAGTGTTTAAGAGACTGTAGGGAATCTGGTCCTCATAGACTAATAATATCAATCTGATATAGAGATTTTAGCCAAAATTTTAAAAAATTATGCCCATTTACCCAATGGGTCTGTATTTAACATTTATCTACAGAAACACGGTAGATAGTGTGGGACTGCATAACCTTTGCCCCTTTTTCTCCAGCCCCATTGTGATTAAAATGTGAGTTAATGGATGGAGATGCTTGTTAGTCTAGGGACGCTAGATCCTCCAGCCCCATTGTGATTAAAATGTGAGTTAATGGATGGAGATGTTTGTTAGTCTAGAGATGCTAGATAGGGATCGACCTAGGGTCCCAGAGTAAACTACTCAACTCTTTGTTTATCCAGAACTGATATTCCAGGCACCACAATTGTTAGAACAAGCTACAGATGTCTGCTGACCATCAATATGTGACAGTCGACCACTAACCTTTGTCCCCTTTTCTTTGATACGTTAACTTCCCCCTCAACCCCCTATTAAAACAGCCTCGGATTCTGAGCCAGTTGCCTCTCTAAGCTATTTTGCTTCGGGAGTGCCGTCTGGCCAGACTAATAAAGGTCTGTTTCCCAACTTGGCCGGTATGTTCCTTCCCGGGTGGTCTTCGCTGTAGTCAGCTCCTTGGAGTGTTTGGTAAGGCTCTTGGTCTTACATTCTGAAGGCACCGCTGGGATTCCTGGGTGTGCTTCACTAGTCAGCTCCTCGGAGCATTTGGTAAGGCTCTTGGTCTTACATTCTGAAGGCACCGCTGGGATTCCTGGGTGTGCTTCACTATAGTCAGCTCCTTGGAGCGTTTGGTAAGGCCCTCGGTCTTACAGATAGGACAACTCTTTGTATGTTTCATTTGTAAGGGGGAAAACACACTAAATATGTAACAATTAGATATCAGTTTAATAATTATAATGCAACCATGTCACACAAGGCTTTGCAGCCTTTCAAAATAATATACAAAAAGAAGTCAGGCATGGTGGCACACACTTGTAATCTTGGCATTCTAGGAGGCTGAGGCAGGAGGATAGCAAGTTTGAGTCCAGCATGTGCAGCTTAGTAACTTAGCCAGACTCTATTTCAAATAAAAAATAAAAGAGGCTGGGGATGTTGCTCTGTGCAAAGGCCCTGGGTTCAGTCTCAGTACCGACAGCCCAAATATATAATATTTAATATCAGAAAAATGTTTGTGATAGAGTGATGTATGGAGGAAAAGGTGAGAAATATCATCCATACAAAGAGAAGGGTTAGGAGTGGCTAAATCTGGGTGACAGTATTGCATTTAAATTTTCATTTCCATGTTAGCCTTTCTTACATTGTGCAACTTTGCTTTTTATACTCAACATATTGCTTTTTACAATAAAAAGAAATAATATACAAACAACAAGACAATATTTCAAGTCAGTGGTGTCAAGCTTGCTCAGGCAAAATATGTAAAGTGGAAAGAAAGAGAGCAAAGGATAGAATGCGTAGGTGGACACCTAACTGGATATAACCGAGTCTGTGAACGTTTGTGTCTAAAACGATGAGATGTGTCCATCACCCTTAAGGGTCTTCTCTGTAGCGAGTAAAAGAATTTCCTTTCTGCTTATTAGCCTGAGGCTACGTTGGGCTTCCATAATTTAACCAGAGATGACACTCTGGACAGATCACTCTTCCTGAGCAACCCTGCAGCCAGTCTGCAAAGACGCTTTTCTCTCTGGAGCACGGGGCAGGCAGTGCCCGGGATTCTGCCCCACTTCCCTTGTGGAGCTCAAGCTCGAGCTGAGCATGCGCACATTCAGGCCGGCACCCCCTCGCCCCCACACCATCACGAGGCCGCAGTCCACAGGTACCACCTGGCCCCCGTACTTACCTACCCTCCGCCCTGGTTCCAGAGGCGATGAAAGAAGGTCTGTTGTCCAGGGCAAAGGATTTTTATTCAATCTTTGCACTCCTCCCACCGGGACTCCTCACCCTCCAGATTCCTCAGAACAGTGGGAGGGGAAGTTACTCCCCCCTAGGCGGAAAGGCAGTTAACAGACGTTCCTCTATAGAAAGGTAGGTCTTCCAGACAGCAAAGAAGAAGGAAGAATTTTTTTATTTTTATTTTTTTGGTGTGATAATATAGATTGAATCCCAGGCCTTGCACTCAATTTCATTCCCCAGCATTTTATTTTAATTTTATATTATATTATATTATATTATATTTTATTTTATTTTATTTTATTTTGAGGTAAGATCTCTCCAAGTGAGCTTGGATTTCTGATCCTCCTGCCTCAGGTTTCCAGAGTTCTGGGATTGTAGGCCTGGGTCACAGGTCAGGCTGGAAAAGGATCTTATAAAAATGTCATAATTCCTCAGTTATATTAGTTAGCAAATGAAGACCTCAAGTGAAAATGTTTTATTGAAATACTTCATACTAATTTCATTTTTGGAAAACGTATAGTACCATAAAAGGTAACTTTTAAAAAAAACTTTAAAATTCTTTTATTTTACTATTATTATTTGTGTGCTGTAGATTAAACCCAGGGGTGCACACATGCTGAGAAAGCGCTCTTATCACTAAGCTACACCCACAGCCCCTTTATTTATTTTAGGTGGAGTCTCTGTGTGTTGCCCATGCTGGCCTTGAACTCTTGGGCTCAAGTAATTCCCTGCCTTAGCTTCTCAAGTAGCTGGGACTACAGATTTACATCACTGCATGATGGCTCAAAAAAAACCCTTTTAAAAATGTATGTATTGAAACTTTGTTTTAAACTCTTTGACAGTTCTTAAGTAGTATAATTATTGAAGCCATACTCGCTGGCAGTTGGGATTTTACAAATATACTAAAAACAGATTTATAATACAGATGTAACTACAGACATTTTATATTAGATATGAAGGAAATGAGAATATCTCCCTGATTCTAAAACAATTATTCACACGATTTTGATTATAAAATCTCAAAGGGTACTCAAATTCCTTTGGGGGAATATTTTGAACTGCTCCAAAGCTAAAAGTTATTGAGCATCAAGTAAGAAAATTTAAGGAGGAAAGCAGAAGAAAAAAACAGTGAAAGTTGGGAAGTCCTAGTTATTTGCCCCAGGCCTTGAAATGTGGTTGATTGATAAGGGAAGTGGTCTTTGACAGAGGAAATGTTTATACTCCTTTCTTGATAGACCCCACCCAATAACAGATTTTAGTTCCTGGCATAATTAAAGCATGGAGTGAGAGATAATTTAGAAGTTATGTGAAGTGAGAGATAATTTAGAAGTTATGTGACTTAGACTTCTGTGAATCCTTAGCAGAAACCTCAACCTGAAATCTCATTTCTCAAAATACTCTTTGCTGAAAGCAAATACACTCCTGCTACTAGCCAGTTCCCCTAACTTGGATATCTGAAGTTCTAACTTCACCATGGTCTTTCATCTTGGAGGTTCTTAAGATCCCTCCAGCTAATCTTCCCCACTCCCTACCTTCAAAATCTCATTCAGGTCAAAGACTCTGGCATGGCTCACACTAGGGTCTTAATGTCTTTGGTGGAATAGCAGGTAAATAGTTTCCCCAAAGCAAATAATGGGAGCGAGCCCAAAGGGTGCCCTGAGAATGTGAAGAATTCTGTAATCTTCTCTGTGAAATTGTACCTGGACTTGGCCCATTAATGAGGAAGCTGATCTTTGACAAGCTTCTCCGTCAATCCAGATTATTAAATGACAAATGTATTCCTCCACTGATTTAATTCTGGAGAGAAAAAAAATCCATGTTTCTAAAAACTGGGGCATCTTATCCCATTGGAATTCATCTTAAAGTGGTCTGCATCCAGAAGCCTAATCAAAATGAACCTTGGCATCACAAAGAAAGATTCATTCATGCCTGTTCTTCTCAATGGCTTTTTCTTGTCTTGAAAGGCATGGAGGAGTGGGACCCATTTCTTTGAACCTGAATTGTGCAGTTTTCTTGTATTCTATAATCACCTCTTTTCCCCAGGAGGCAAGGCAGAAGGGGTAATGAAGCTCACAGGTCTTGACCTATGAAAAATGGGATCTAGATCTAGCACTGCCTCTTACTGGCTGTGACTTTCAGCAAGTGTGGTGCCTTTTAGTTTCATTCACTAGAATGAATCAGCAGAGCAGGGATTATCAGCCTACCTCATAGAATTGTGAGAATTATATGACATAACTGTGGGACGTATCTGACATGGTGACATGGTGCTCAGTATCCAGTGCATGGTTGTGATGATGCCTCTGTTCTCCTCCTCATCACCATCATTATAAAATAGAGTCCAAGGAACAATAATCCCAAGGGAAAAATAATGCATATTATCGATTTCAATACACCATGTAGACTAAGATCTGGCACATAGTAGGTACTCAAAATAACCGATGAATAAATGAATGCAATTTTGTTCTGAAATAAATGTTTTGAATACTAAAAACTATTTGAAGACATTCTTTCATCTTTTATGCACATCTAACTAAGGGTAAGACTCAAGCTCGGAATCTGTTTGAAATGCTTAAAAGAAACAAGATATACAAACCCTCAGCAGCCTCTTTCTCCTCTGCATTTCATTACACCTTTGCCAAGTAATCAAGTAATGATTCTATTTCTCTGTTTAACTCACTCTCATACTTTATTGTACATAACCAAAAGAACACTAATTTTGCTCTTAGATGACATTTTCTCCTTTAACATTCTCTGCCACTGCTCAGCCCTCCAGTCTTTCACTTGCTCTTCTTCTCCTTATCAGCTGATTCCTTATCAAGCCTTGCCCTCTTCTGGTGACCCAGACTGAAAAGATCATCAATTCCTTCACCATGAAAGTGGTCTGCTATGCAGTGCCTCCTGCTATCTTAGTGAGTCAACAGCCATGGAATTCAATAGCCCAGTGGGATCTGGATGCACTTTCTGATATGGAAACCTACTTATTAACAAATAAATACCTTTTTCTCTGCCATGTGGCAGGATGGAGATGTAAGTACAACCAACCTATCAATTTTCCCCTTAGGGTTTATTTTCAAGGAGGTTTTCATTCCTCTGACAAATCCAAGGTGATTTATATTTTAGTTAATCTACAAACTTTTGGGATCTAACACTCAGAAAAATCTAAGCATTGATTTAACACCTAATGATTTTTGTTTCTTAATGGATCAATTCTCAAATGCCAGGAGCAAAAAGGACAGCATTTCTGAACTTATTTTCATTAGATTAAGAGACATGAATATTACAACATTGATAATTATGCCAAAATTCCTCCAAAGAATACCTTCACAAGGACAGAGATTGCCTTTCTCTGGGTTCAAGGAGACATCAGTTTAAAAAACATGCATAACAAATTCATTTATTCTACACTCTGGAGGCTGAATGGCATTTTGGTAATAAGTCTGGAAATATGTGGGCAAGATCACTATTTAACAATCAATCCTTGTTAAAAAAGAATATTTCTCTTTCAAATGTATTCACATCCTAATTATAGCTTTGCACAAAATGGTAAAATGGCATAATGAAAAGACTTAGGTAGATTGAAGATATTTCTAGTTGTCTGTGAGTAGCTTTCTCAGAGCTAAATAATCCAGAGACCTTTTCTCAAATTGATTTGGGAGAAGAGTATCCCTTCTGAGTACATTGCTAGGTAGACAGACCAGTTAACCAATACCTTGTGTCTGAGTATCCATTCATTTAAAAAGTGAATAAATGCCTAGTACATTTTAAATACTATGCCAGTTCTCAGGGCTACTAAGATAATTAAGACAAAGACCTTATTTGAGGTTGAGTTGAATGTAGCAATAGAGTTTATATGAAAGAGTGACTAGAGATTCATGAATTTCTTCAAATATGTTTGCCTGTCACCAATGGGGCCAGCCCTATGGGCTAGAATGCAGTGGGAGAAACAAAGCCTTGCATCCTGTCTTCACCGAGTGAGTAGTTTAGTAATCACTGGTCTAGTAATCATGGTCTAGACATCATTGTTCATTAAATTACAAAGTGTTTTTATGGAAAAGGAGACTGTAACAAAATATAGGTTAAAAACAGAACTGATTTTGATAAGGCCAGTGCTGAAAATTAAGATAAAACCAAGGAGTTGGGGATGTAGCTCTGTGGTAGACCCTGTGTGTAGCATGCATGAGACACTGGGATCAATCCGCAGCACTAGAAAGAAAAGAAAAGGATAAAAAGATAAATAAATGAAATTCAGAAAGTAAGACTCTTGTATTAGATTTAAGTTCTTTTGTAAGCAGGTTATTCTTTTTAACAGTAGACAGTAATAGGTCTCAGGCTTGGCCAAATATGGCAGAGGGATAAGAGGGATAAGATCAGTAGCAAATGCAAATTTGGGGCTATTACCAGTGGTCTGGGTATGGCTTGTCCAGCCCATGACTAAATCTCTCCATTCAATTAACAATGCCCACTGATGTTTTCATCAGGTTCTGCTGCTTAGGATGCTCAAATGACATATACTTTAAGACACATGTGACAGGCTGGAAAATGGCCCCCAAATTATCCAGGTTGGAGTCCCCAGAAGCTATGAATGTTACCATTTATTGCAAAAGGTACCCTCCAGATGTGGTTAAGGTAAAATTTTCAGAGGGAAGACTGGCCTGAACCATCTGGATGGGCTGAGGCCATCACAGGGGTCTGGCTAAGAGGAAGACAGATGATCAGAGTGAGCAGAAGGTGTGTGATGACATAGCAAATAGGACTTAGGAGCCCTGCATCCTCCAGGAGCTGCAAGAGGCAAAGAATGACTTATACCTTTTTACTCACCGATGCTGGCTGTTCCCTAATCATAAGCCCCTTCTGTGTGCCTCTCTACAAGCATTCCTCATCTGAGCCCTGCCCCAGGAGGGGGACAGCATGGCATCAGTGGGATTCTGCTCCCGTACTGCCTGCTCCTCTGTGGTTGCTGGAGGCTCTGCTCAGTAACTAGGGAATTATTCACTTATCAAACTTCTCCAAGTTGAGCGCATGCGGGTTTTGCCTGCCATGCACAATAAATCTCATGAAGTTATATTTTCTAAGAATCAATTCTAATCAAAACCAGTTGTCCTTTAAAGTCTTGATTGAGGTCCTATAAATACTAATTTACTTCCATCTACCTTTCATATTTTTCAATAAATAAGTGTTCTCTTCTAAGTTTTATAACACAAAACTCCAGGCTCTTGTCTGAGGAGTTGTCTAGACATTTCCACAGATGAAAGGCTCTTTTGCAAGAGAAGTTTAGACCAACATGCGTTCGCATTTGTAGTGTTTCTCCACAGAGAAGGATATCTGTTGATCTGGGTGGGAGTAAAAACAAGACTTCTATTTCTGCAACGGGGTATCAGTCATCTTGACTGTAAAGTATGGCGCAGAAAGCACTGATTGTGCGTGCGTGCGTGCGTGTGTGTGTGTGTGTGTGTGTGATGGTGGGGATTAAACTCAGGGCCTTCACACTGACCTACCTACCTGCCCAGCCATTTTAATTTTGTATTTTGACACAGGGTCTCACTGAGTTGCTAATTTGCCTAGGTGGGACTTGAACTTGTGATACCCCTGCCTCAGCCTCTCAGTAGGGTGTGGGTCACTAAGCCTAACTTGTGCAAATCTCTTGAATTACTTTAGTCATACACTAGAGAATTTTAACCAAGATCTGATTTTGATGCAGCAAAAAATTGCTATTCTTGAGCTCTATCCACTTCAATACATAAAATTACAATTTTTATTCCATTCTATGCATATAAAATTGTGTATATACATTTCTGTGGTACACACTGAAATATGTGTATATATTTCATTGTCTTACAACTAATAATACTCCAGTGGTCTTCTCTGTACACCTGTCCTTGGACATGTGTGTACTAGGCAAATAAAGACAGAATGTTTCATTTTTTCCAACTGCATGTTTTGATTTGTTCATGAGTTATGAAATTATCTATCTGTCCTCACATCTTCTGTTCTTATTAAAGTGAAATAAAATAAACAATATAACAGTGCAGATAGGAAGGGTAGTCATTGTTTTCCAGAACTACTTCAGTTACACATATTTTGGGCCAGGGATTTAGCTTAGTGGTGCTGTACCTGCCTCGCAAGCATAAAGTCCTGAGTTCAATCTTCGGTACAAAAAAAATTGCATATATGTATGCAGACATGTGTACTGTGTTACCATGCAAAAACATTCTTCTTACAATCAGTTAGAGGAAAAAGTTCTGAAAGTATGGTTCTATTAGCTATACATAGAAGAATTTCTGAATAACAGAATACGCATGTTTTCAACCTGACTCACGATAATCAAATTGATGAATAAATTCATGATTCTACCAAGATGTCAGCAAATTCCTCTTTACATAGCTTCAAGAGAGGGTAGTCTGATTTATTTTTTTCCAAATATAATATATTTAAAATGATATTTCAATATTGTTTTAATTTGTATTTTCCTGATCCTCTAATGAGGCTGAACATGTTTGCAACTGTGAATTGTCTAATCATACTTTTTGGCAACTTCTGTATTAGTTTTCTGTTTTTCAGTAATTCTTTATATATCATGATATCAACCCTTGTCTCATAGAAATCACAGAGTTTTTTCCTAATTTATTGATTTTCTCTAACTCTGTGGTGTGTCCAGGCATGCAGAAAGAAGTTTTAGATATAGTCAATATAGCTTTTTAAAAACATGAGTTGTGATACTATACTTCTTGTCTGAGATATCCATCTATTTCCCAAGGTTATAAGAATATTCTCCTATTACTTCCTAATAATTTTAAGGTTTTACTTTTTTTAATTTAGATCTTCAGTCTATTTGGAATTTTTGTTTTGTTGCATTATGGTGATAAGAAAGACTAAATTTTATTTTTTTAATATGGAAATTCAATTTTTCCCATATAAATAATCAGATAGTCTTCTTTTCCCATCATCAGGCCATCTTTTAAAAAGGCCAAACTGTTATATGCACTTGGTCTGTTTCTGGACTCTCTTATGTTCTACTGATCTCTTTTCTACTGCTGACCAAAACTGCAGCCTCCTCAATTTTAGTATCTGGGAAGTCTAGTTCCTTGTTTGCTCTTCTCTTTTAGGATAGTTTTAACTATTTTTAGATCTTTATTTTTGCATTTGAATACTAGAATTATCATTCCATGTTCCATGTAAAAATTTTTTGTTAAGGTTTTAGTTAATATTTTCCCTGCTTGTCAACAACTCTGCTAATATAGTACTTTCACAGAGACACTAAAGACTCCACCGCTGTGAATCCTAGCAGAAAATAAAACAAAAAAACAAGAAGAAAACCACCAGCTTCCACCTTATTTCCACATTTCAAAGTCCATCTGCATCTGATGGACTGAAACTAAATTGCATCAAGAAAACCAACTGTGAGAAAGTTCAAGAAATGTACATTTGTGTCTTTAAAGCCTCTGTGATACAAGAATAAAAAGTAGAATAGTGAGTTTCAAACTTTGGGTTGCAGGTCATTAAATTATATGGCAGGTGAAGAATGTCATTAAGAAATGAAATGGAGGGCCGGGGATTTAGCTCAGTGGTTCTGCCTCCTGCCTCGCAAGTGCAAGGTCCCGAGTTCGATCCCTGGTACCAAAAAAAAGAAGAAATGGAACAGATTATAGGTTATCAGTATGCTTAGCAAGAATATTGTTTCATAAAGCTATGCACACATTATATATGTTTATAGATGTTTTATATATGTATATATTGGTAGGGACAGAGAGACATACAGACAAAGACAGAGGAAAAAGAGAATGAATATATAAGAAACATTTCTTACTATGGATCTGGATCAAGAAAGTCTGAAGGTCCAGGTACCAGGAGGGGGTGCTGTGTGCCAATTCACCATCTCTACCTCAATATTCCTTACTTTGCTAAGGAAGTTTCCTGTATTTCTCACGTGGTGACAGCTTTTATCATGAATAAATTTTGAATTTTGTCAAACGTGTATACTGATGTAATCATAAGGTCCTTCTTTGATGTACTACATTAATGGATTTGCCACAATGTATCATTTTTGCCTTCTCTTCCTAAAAATGTTTTTAATAGTTATCTTTCACGCCTATGGTTTCCCAGTTTGCTACAAATACTGTCCCATAGATTACCTATGATTTCCAGCGGGTAATATATTTGTCAAAGATGCACATCTCAACACATTCTGTAAGAACAAAAGAAAAGGACTAAGTTTTGGAATCCTTTATTAAATTCATAAGAATTTCAAATACCTGCATTTTATTTAGTTAAGAAAAATCTAATCCTTTCTGAATACCTTTATAATTTAAGGACCAATGATCAAAAATCTGTATAAAGAAATAAGTCCTACTGAAAAGTGGTATTTTAATTTTGATATAATAGTGACAATTATTTCAAAATGTATTCGTTCAGAATATAAATCATCCAGTAAAAGTATCTGCACCAATGATCACTATGAAAATATATGTTCAGGTTATAGTCATTTAAGCTGTACCCTAGAAATTTTCATTTTCGTATTTGTTGCATTTATCTGTTGGTGATTAAATATTAAAGAATGTCTCTATTGCTTGTATCCAAGAGACAACCATCAGCTTTTCAATAGGTCATCATTTTAACTCACAAAATCAGGAAACTGCAACATGACTTCTTTCAGCAAACCATGCAGTGATACGCAGTGTGAAGAGTCTGGCTGGGCTGTTAAGAAGACCTTTGGCTCTGGAAGCCTTGGAGTTTTTCATTTGTCTTACGTGTTTCCTGGCGCTTTTTAGGACAAAAGAAATTTATCTTGAATAAAATGGAAAAGTTCAACAGGATACTTTTTACAAATCATCTGCAAAGTATGTTACAACCAATTAAAATTTTTCTAATTATTTTATTTTGTCATTATTACTTTTTTGGTCTTTTGAGACAGGGTCTTGCTATGTAGTCCAGGCTGGCTTTGAACTCACTATGTAGCATAGGCTGGACTGGAACTTGCAAGAATCCTCTTTAGTCAGCCTCCCAAATACTATAGGTGAGCACACCGCACATTTCTAATAATTTAATGAATGCACAATGCACATTCTCTACCACCGATATTCTTCAACAGTTATTATCAAATGGAAAAAAATCTATTTTTATAAAGGCCATGGAAATAAAAAACAATAATTATTAAACTTTTGCAAAAGGACTCTTCACAAAGAAACAAAATTTAATGATTCATCTGATATGAGCAGTTGACTTGTTAAATAACACGTATTCAACCCGTGGTTCCTTCCCTCCTTTATTCTACTTCCTATTTAGGAAAAGAGGAAACCTAAGGACAGAATGAACAGAATGCTCATTTATTTAGCCCAAGGCAACAGGAACTTCAGTGTCAATAGAGAGATGAGCTCTCAGTCTTCACAGAGAGGGAACCCATAATACTGCTTGCCTCTGGGTGCTGGGCCTACAGGAGACACATTTTCTAACTTCTAGTTTCCACATTTTGGGTTGTATTTCTATTGTAATGAAAAGAGAGCTCCACACAACCAAAAGTTATACATACATTAGTTCATCATTTTATTTTATTTTCATTTTATTTTCAATACTTGGCCATTTAACAAAAACTTAAGTGCCCCTGTAAGTTCTTCTTTACTTCCTCTCCCAGTGGTGGGGAGATCTCCATTTTTCAGAGAAAAATAAGGAGAGTTTCACAGCTTGGGGTGTGGGTCAGATTTGTGTGGGGTTTGCAAAAATGATATTTGGAGGAGTGCCACCATCTCCTTTATGGTTAAAAACAGTAATATTTCTTAGGTCCTCATTATGTCTAGGCCAGCATTCTGGGCACGGCAAGGAGAAACAGGGAGTAGTCAAAATGGCTGCCGTTTCTGAACAGCCCAGTACACAATCAAACGCATAAAGGACATAAACATATTTTAACAAATACCAAGGTACAATGGGTGTAGTGCAAACCGAGATGTCAATATGGAAGGGAACAGAGCAGAGCTGTGTACGGAGCCAATTAGAAGGGGCACCCCTAAGATTTCCAGAAGCAGCCAAGTGACACCTTCCCTTTACCTCTCAATGTCTCATTATCCAAGAGCTTAATAGAAATGGAAATTTTGAAAACAGACATTTTCCTCATTGGGAAAGTGACCTCAAACAATGCTGCCCAGGCTTGCTGACTCCTAGTTTTATGCTTCCTGAGACAGTATTTGAGTTTCATGCAGAAATAGATATTTTCAGACCATGATTTTAAGAGTCTAAGTAAGATTTTGATTCATATGTAAATCATAATGCATTAATTAAAAAACTCAACATTTCCTAAGAAATGCCTGTGACTTCCATTCTGCCTAACCAAGTAGGGGCTGATTTAGGGCAAGAGGAGTACAAGTTCTTCAGTGTTGCCCAAGTCCTTTCTTGTACAACACTGAAAGTAAAACAAATAAAAAATCATCTAAGATAATTTTTTTGTCCCCTTATTAAACACTGCATTTTTTTTAACACCTTAAGAGTTCTATGCGTCACTTTTAACTGCTCTCTACATTTATAAAGCTTTATTGTTTACAGTGCAGGCTTTGAAGTTATTGCTGTACTAGACTCTCAGAAGGAAATTTTCCTGGAGGTGCTTATAACTGGGAACTGAAGAAATCACATGATTTAAGCATTAAAGGTGGCTACCAGGCCACAGCCACACCTCTGCCTCTAGTAAATTGTTCTGGTTCTTAGTAGTGAATCATCTCTAGGACTGAACAGAAAGAAGCCAGGTCAACCAACAGACGGGAAAACAAACTGAGGGCTTGGTGTCAGCAGCTGGGGTAAAGGTGGAGGACCGTGGACACTGACTGGGCTCTGAGAACAGTTCTTTCAATGAAAATTAAATGCTGACACCAACCTGCACCTGAAGATTTCCTGGTGAGCACGACCAAGTGGTAGAGGGCAGATGTCACACATATGAAGTTTCAATTTTAAGAACAGTTTATTCAATCCCACTAAAATGGTGAGAAGTTTTACTTATCTGCTTCTAGATCACAAAGAAAAGCAATGCCATCAAACTTGTGAACACAAATCAGGCTCCTGCCTGTGAATGTAGACCAGAGATTTGTGGCCAGAGGTCAAGATTCTGAGCTGAACTTCCATGGTGGAGAAGTTAAGAACTTGTCCCTCAGTGCAGTGATGCTTCTCTGATGAAATCTCTTCTCCAGCTTCCTTTGTACTTTAACAAAAATCAGCCCGTGCCGAGTACCGCCTGTGTATGTTGGAGCCAAATCTGTCTTCCTCAGCTCTTCAAGGACTCATGGGAGAACCTGCCTTGGTCACAGGCAGAAACGATGGTCCTTTGGTTTGGATCAGGGAGCTGGAGCTCCTCACTTGATCATCTGAGTCTCTTCGTCTGCATCGTAAAACTCTTCTTCCTCCTCACTGTCACTCTCTAAAGTCCTCTCATTGTCCACAGGCTGAAGTGGGAAAGGAGTAGAGGGCAGGGAGATAACAATAACATCACGACACTTCTAAAATGAAAACTGCCACCTAGCTGTCCAACTGACGAATTTTTATGACATCTACTTTCCTAAGGGGCAGCTCCTAAGTGTTTTAAAAATCTTACGGTCATCTTTATTTTTCTGAAAATCATGCGCTGTTAGATTTCCACCTTTGTTTTCCATTCTATTTAATCTAACCCAAACAACATTTTTTTCCCCAACAGCTGTCATTATCCAAGCAGAAGCTGCAAATGGATAGGATGAACATCAACCTACCTGCAATGCATCCAAGGTCTGCAAAGACATGGCTTCCTTCCCCAGCCTCCGATAGGAGTACACTTGAAGGTCAGCAAATGTCTCTAGCAATGGGCTATTAAGAGTTTCTGGCAACAACAAACTCAGGAGGCCCGAGGTCAGGCCGGTGGCTCCAAATACAACGAAGGGTAAAGACCACTGCACATATTTCTGTAGAGGGATGGGATGAATGAAAATAAGCAATACTCACGGTCAGTGAGTGTCCTTGGCAGATGCCATCAGCGGTCCCATGACTGAGAACTGTCACAGTTCCTACCCAGTTTGTATGTTCCCAACTAGACTACGCTACTGACCACTTTTTCTTTCACTACAGAGAACTACCCTGGGAAATTACGGACTGAGTAAACCCAAAGGCAGCATGGAGTGCGGGCAGAAGCATCGGGCCATCTCCCACCTGGGGTGGGCATGTGGGAGCCGAGGCCCAGCTGTTTCTGAGCAGGGCAGGTCCATGAGGAAACTTGGTGTCCAGTTTTGGCTCCAGGGGAGTAGCTTTGACAGTGACCTCCACCCCATCTTCACTTGAGAGACGCCCCAAAATATTTGCTGACAATGAACTTTAATCATTTGGCGGTTGCAGCAGATCTAAGAGACCTCTGCAGGGTTGCAATTCTCAGTCTTGGAATCTGTCCAGCCATCTCATATACCACAACACCATGACAGAGAGGCCCAGGAATGAAAGGGATAAAAACTGGAAAGAAAAAGCCCTACCATATATGTAGTTTGGAAGCCACTTAAATTGAAATGGTAAAGATAAAATGGCAATTGCTTCATAGAGCCAAAGGATATTCGTAGGACAAATTAATATTCTCTTTGAATACAAACAGGTTCAAAGATAAAATAAGAAACAGCAGGATGGTGCTTTGAGGCCATTCTGAGAGGACTGAAATTCTAAAATTCCAGTACAGGAGGTATTGACTTTATGATCTTCTGCTTTGGCCTTCTCAATTCTGTGGGTATGAATAGGATTTTACCTCAGACAACTTTTTCCAAATTTTTTTTTAAAAGTGAAGAGATGATGGAGAAAAGGAGAGGAAGGAGTGCAGGAGTGAAAAAGAGAGCAAGGAAAGACAGGAGAGCAAGGAAAGACAGGAGAGCAAGGAGGGGGAGAAGGAAGAAGGAAGCCAGACAGGGATCTCTCTCTCATCTCTATCACTTAGAAGCAAAAGCAAGCCCAGCATTGTGGGTGCTGCGGAAGCAAGGAGGACACAGCACTTTCCCTCCTCTTAGGAATCAAAGGAGACACAGAGTTGAGTGTTACAATGTTCTAGGGCAGCCATCCAAAGGTGGATCGTTTTAATAACCTATATCTAGGGTCCCAGACATTTTGCAATATGAAACATGGAGCAAACATGATTCCTTTGTAAGAGAGGCCTTGGGACCTAAAATTGAGCATGAAACATGGAGGGAGATACTCAGGAAAAAGAAGTATACTGCAACTCAAAAAATGAGTCAGCTACCATGACATTTCAGAGACAACCCAAACTAGGAAATGGTGAACGACGCTGCCTGAGTCATGACAATTGTCTACAGGAAAGGTCAACAAAGCCCACGCCAAATCTAGTCACCTTTCCACAAGTCTGGGCTGGAAAGTCCCAGACCAGACCAAGGAGAGACTCGCATGGGGCTCCAGAGTTCCTTCATAGAATGGGACCATTTTAAGACTGAGACCATTAGGACTGCCATTTAGTGACATTTATTGGACTACAAAATTTAGAAAATAAAAAATTCTGATCAGACATCCATCTAGGCATGTATTTCCTCTAGTTTTCTTTTCCCAGTGGTATGCTTTGGGGAAAGATGTGTAATCTATTTCTGTAGCATTTCTCATATGATTATTGTGTATGTTGCACACAGTGATATGTATAAAGCGCTTAGCAGGAAGTCCAGCCTGCATCAGAGGCTTAATAAATACTTAATTACTAACTTCTGAATGGGCAGAAAGGGGGCCTCTCTGTCATCAGCTGAGCCAGCAGTAAATACAGATAAACAAAGAATCAGACCCATCGGGGTAGAAGCATCCCGGTCTATCTGTCCTGATGGAGTACTGGGTCTTCATCTAACAGGCACATGGTTCACATCTGTGTTAGCTGACCTTAAAAAGTATCCATTCATTACATTCTTCTACTCAAAGACACAAGCATTTCCAAAGCACAGAATCATGAAAAACAAAACCAGGAGGTACAAACCAACCAGTGAGGGGATGAAGGGAGCAATAATCCCACCAACTCTGGAGAACATGGAACAGGTTCCAAGCCCAACGTTCCTGAAAGGCATAAGGAAAAGTAAAATAAAAAACCGTGAGTTGTAGGGGGAACATTTAAAGACCTTGTAGGAGGGGGGCACAAAGGGCCCAGAAAGAACATGCCAAAGTAGAAGCACAGGAAACTATAGAGTAGTGCTGCCTACGAGAACTCTCTGTGATGCTGGAAATGTTCTAGAATTGTACTGCCCAATATGGAGAGTCACTAGATACAGGTGGCTACAGAGTACTTGGACCAGTTAGGATGAGGGTCTGAATTTCTAGAACTTATGCAATTTAAATTAAATTAAATAGCCATTTGGGGATAGTAACTATCATACTAGTAGTGTATCTCTATAAGATGATTCAAAAATCAGCTTTTGAGTATTTGTTATGAAATGTTCTCGCAGGTTTTTTTTTTTGTCTTAGGTCTACTGTCTACAATCAATTAACACAGCTATAGAAAGAAAGGGCTTAGTGATCCGAAAAGTCTGACCATTTATTTAAACTCAACGAATTAAAGTCAGGCATATGAGTAGGACTCGACTGTGCATTCATTGTCAGGAAACCTAGAACATTCTTTATTGGGTTGTGGGCATGAAAGAGGTGGGAGGGATGCAGAGAAAATAGGAATGATTTCAAGATAGGGTGGCCATGCATTACTCTGTTATCTCAGTCTAACTGTTAAAAATGTCCATCTGCTCTCAAGAGTGTCCTAATTTGGACATCTGATCCTAGTTTTATAGCCCGCAGTCAGACAAAGGAGATTGTGAGAACAATCAGGAAGTGAGTAAATAATCTGATCTGTTGCTAGGCAAAAGGGATTTAAATCAACAGACAGAAACAACCCTTAGTTTTCTAGCACAGATAAGAGACAGAAAGATTCCTTTTGGGTGATCTTTATTCCACAAAGGGAATTCTGCAAAAACTTAAACTGCATCCCTGTCCTTCAAATTTGGGGTTATTTTTTTGTTTTCAAATAGATTTTTATGAAATTTGGGATTGAATATATACCTTTTGATATAAGCATACTCATGAAAACCATCTTTAGCAACTAATATTTAAATCGAGTATTTACCTATTAGTTTATGAAATGATCTTTTAATATGTGTATATTTTGTGCTAAAACAGAGGCTCGGTGAGAAAAGGGACTTTGTTTCCTTGCCTGCTGTATGTCTAACACTGGATAGGTGACCGAATGAATGCAATTCACCAAGGTAAAAACAGCACTGGGGTTTGCAGCTCAGTGGTAGAGCGCTTGCGTGGTATGCTCGAGGCCTTGGATTCGAGCCTCAGCACTGTAAAGAATAAAAAAACCAGCATCCAGCCCTGTTTGGGTTACAGGTCATGTCTAGTGTAGAGCACCTCTCTTGCAGTTTACAGGAGGGGATTCAGCTCATGACAAAACTACAGTTTCCTCAGCCATAGAAGCGGAGAGCAGTCTGCAGAGAGGTTGTGAGTTATGACTGCTTGTGGAGCTGCTGTTGCTGCACACTGACTCCCAAGCAATGGGAAGGAGAACCAGACGCCCCCCCCCCCGCCCCAACACGAGCAAATCCAGCACGAGGTGCAGGCGGATACACACCTGATGATGGTTGGGTAGAGCTCAGAGGTGTAGATGTAAACGATGTTAAAGGCAGCACTGATGGTCAGCTTCCCCAGCAAGGACAGGGAGCGGCTGTTCACCACCCCAAACACACCTGTGTCTGAGGAGGACAGGGCAACCTTTGTGAGACCACAATGGAAATGATCCCTCTCAACAATACACCTCACTGTGAAGGAGCCACAGGCGTCCATGTGGATCTCAAATGGCAAAGTGGTAGCAAAACTGCACACACATTTGGAAGGTTTAGTAATCACACACAAAAGCATGTGTAATATTTTCTCAATGTCTTCACTGTCTCCATGAAGTCTGACATACTGGTTGTCATTAAGTAAGATAAAATCTGCAATCAGTCCTGAAAGAGACCTTGAAAACCACACTGGAGAGAAGAAAGTGCATCTAAGAATGCTATGTGTCTTGCCTTTCTTCCTCATCTTCTTCAATCACTGATATAAAACAGTACTCATCAGGGCCCTCACTAAACTAACAGACAACGAAAACAGAGGTGAGCTCCAGGTGAGCTCTGACCTACAATTTAAAGGGTATTTGTGTTAGCCTGCTTTCCATGACTGTATCAAATACCAGAGATGATCCTCCTGCCTCAGCCTCTTGAGTGCTGGGATTGCAGGTGTGCCCCACTACATCTAGCTTTGAGTTTCGTAATGTATTTTATTTTACACAAAATACAAAAAATATCCTATGCCAGTTTCCTTATCAAAAATACAATCAATCAGTTACCTAGTGGTTTTTACTAACATTATGCTGCCTACATAATTTGTTTTCTATCAAACAGTTATTCTTTCTCCTTTAAAAATCTATTTGTTTCTGCCTTCAAAATAACAATTTCTCATAAGAAAAAAAAAGCCCACAATTCTTCTTGACTCTGTTGTATTTCCTCCCTTCACTATCAAACACCTCTAGGAAGTGACAACCATTCCATTTCTCAAATGCACCTGCCCTATAACAGCAATCTGGCTTCCAATACACTCCTTTCTTAAAATTCCTAGTCCTAAAGGTCAACAGCAATGTCCTAGCCATTGAAAGTAATCAGCTCTCATTCTCCTTGACATTTATGCCAAATGGAACACTCCTGTCCCCTTTCTTAGGACTCTGGAGCTCTTATAAACCCTTCTCAGTTAAACAGCTCTAATGAAATATCTTCTCCTTCCTTTAACCTCCAATATCCCTACTTTCCAATCCATTCAACTGGCATGTCTCAGATACTCAGATACTTTGTGGTTACTTATTTCTCTATCTTGTCTGCCCAAAATATATTTCAAGTTTCCGCAGGCTAATGTTGGTATCTTGTATATTTGCGCTCCTCACAGCATCTCCCACAGGACTAGGCACACAGTTTTTCACCGTGTAAATATTTGTTGAAGTAAGAAGTGTAGGAACTACAGTAGGAATTCATTTGGTGAAATCAACCTGTGTTCACTCTCTCAACTTCTTGGGAGGGAGGGATATGATTTGCCTGATATCAAAACTAAGTTTCACTTTCCCTGGTTGAGTGTGAAATAAATTTTCGCCCACTTTAAGATGGTGTCCTGAAGAGTCACGCACGCACTGCTATATGTGACCCCTGGAGCTGCTTCCTCCTCTTCTCCCAGAATATCTCAAACACCACATTAGCTCTTCTAAATACTGTATATCTAAAAACATGAAGTCCTCTGGAAAAAGAATCAGGACTCTCAGCATTTACTTCAAGATTTGTTTCTGGACACTTGAGATCTAACAACTATTTCATTTAAACCAATGATGATCCAGATTAGATTCATCATTATTTTGCAGAAAACTGAGCCAGGAAAAAGTACAGGGTGGCACAGAAGCAAACACAAAGCACACACATCTGCTTTCCATCCATCTTTCAGGACGGCATCTTTCAGAAATGCATGGAAAACATTTTCAATAACAGGATGAAGGACTCGAGTAAATCTTGAAATTTAAGTTCAGATGGTGTGAGACAGAAACGTTATCATCTAAACATCCATGATGCAAAACTGGAAGACTCCCGAGTAAGGCTCGGAATGCTCCAGCTGGGCACACATGGGGAGCCCGACTCGGGCCGCACACCCATCTGCTGTTCCAAACTTCTCTCCCCTGTTTCCGTCAGCTGATCTGCAGTCACCACGTCAGCCAGGGAAGCTCATTTCTCCTCCACTGGACCTCACGTCAATTTAGGACAGAATGTTTTGTTTATGAGACCCTGCCTGTGCAGCTGTCGGGCTGTTGGTACCCTGGGTTCCTCACCTGAGTACTTCACCTAATCATATATTGCTGGCTATTCCCAAGGAATGTTCAAAGTTACTGTTCAGGGAAAAAAGTGAATTAAAAGAGAAGAGAAAATCTAAGCTACCTATTTTAAAAAGGCGATTCTCAAAACACTGGTTACCCTTCAAAGTTCTGAACTCAAAGACCTTATACATTTATTCCAATATTGCATCTTCTAAGGATATAATTTTCAGAACTAATTTTCTGAGAACCCTTGGGGCCACCATAACAAATTATCTCAGTATTTTATGCTCATATTTCACTGGCCCAAAAGAGCAAACATTCAGTTAATCATTCACATCACAGGGTGATTATCATGGAATTTTGATTGCTCATATGTTTAAAGATATTGACCATAGCTGATGGTTTTCCACTATGATGCTTAGGTTGGACAAAGAACAGTTCCTTTTCCTTGCCTTTGGGTGTTTTTTTTTTTTTTTCAAATAAAATAACATACAAATACAAAGTTTTGTCACCATACTTTCATCTTTCTGGGGTTTCACATGGATGAAATAGTACACTTCGTAGACTTCTGTGTACATAGGCTTTCACCTGGCATAATGGTTTTGAAATGTACTCATGTTGTCTGTATCAGTAGGTAACAGTTCATTCCTTCCTTGTTGTTAATATTCCATTGTGTGGATATATAACAATGTATTTACCCATTCATCAGCTTGATGGGCATTTGGGTTCCTTTGAGTTTGGTACTGTGAACATAGGTCTCAAAGTCTGAGTCTTTGTATTTTCATTTCACTGATTTTTTTTTTTTTTGCTCCTATGTTTATTTTTTTCATCTTTCTGCTTGCTTTTAAGAACTAGATTACTTGTGTTTAATTCGACATTCTTTTTTTTTAAAACGTGTCTTCTACTTTCTCAGGGTGAATCATTCATTTGAAAACATTTTATCTGATTTAAAAAATTATACAAATTTTCCTCTAAGCCTTACTTTATATGCATCCCCTAAATTTTGCTTTTTTTTGAAACAAGGTCTCACCATGCAGTTCAGGCTGGCTTTGAATTCACTATGTACTCAGGCTGCCTCATATTTGTAGTGATCCTCTGCCTCAGCCTCCTGAGGTATGTGCCACCACACCAGGCATACCCTAAATTTTGATTTGTATAGTTTAATAATTGCTCAATTAAAATATTTTCCAATTTTCTTTGTGATTTTTTTTCTTTGATCCATGTGTGTTTAGAAAGGTGTTATCTAGTATTAAAAATGTAAGGATTTATGGGATTAATATGAGAAAATGGAAAAATAGGAACAAAATCTTTGTAAATAGGGAGGAATGGAGGGGTTGAAGGGAGGGCTGGGCAAGGATGAAAAATAAGAACCAAGAGAGACTATGTAAAGGTGCAAATTTCCAACGATGAATGTCATTATATTGTATACCTAAAATGTACCAATGATTAGAATGAATAATTGGAAATGTAAAATAGGAAGAAAAGGTCCAAAGGGGTAGGGGTAGTGGGAGGGGCAGGGGAAAGGAAAGAAGGGAAAGGAAAAAATGATGAGAAATGGAAAAAATGGAAATAAAGTCTTTGTAAATAGGGAAGGGTGGAGGGCGTGAAGGGAGGGCTAGGAATAGGGAAAAAACAAGAACCAAGATGCATTATATAAAGGTACAATTCTCAATGAGAAATGTAATTGTGTTGTATACCTACAATGTACCAATAAAAGAATTTAATACAAAAAAAAATGTGAGGATTTTCCAGGAATCACTGTTACTGATTTCTAGTTTAAATCCATCCTAGCCAAATAATTTATTTTTAAAGTTTCCAACCCTCTTAAATTTATTGAAACTTATTTTATGATCCAGAATAGGGTGTTCCTTGGCTAATGTTTTGTGTGCACTTCAAAAAGAGTTTACAGGTCAAGTGTTCTACAAATCAACTAGGTTGTGTTGAATAACGTCTGTTTATATTTTTTATCTACTGTTTCTATTAATTACTGAGATAACAGTATCAATGAACCTAACTATAATTTTGGATTTGTCTCTTTGTTGTTTTTGTACAACACACTTTTGTTTCCTGTACTTTGAATCTATGAAAAGAGGCATACACATTTAGGCCGGCTGTAGCCTCTAAATGAAGTAATTACTTTCTTGTTGTGTGTTTATTGTTTTTGCAAACATTTCCACAGATAGTTTTTCTTTACCTCTTTCTGCTGAGACTACAGTTACATACGAAGCCCCTTGATATCGTTCCACAATTCACTGATGCCTTGTTCGTTTTTTATTCAATCTGTTTTTGTTCCATTCTGAACAGTTTCTTTTGTTATAAGTTTATATTCACAGATCTATTCTTCTGTAGTGTCTAATCTGCTGTATGATACACTGTGTTTTAGTCCCTTCTGCTGTATTTTTTCATGTATGTTTCATCTCTAGATGCTTTGTGCATACCTTTTATACAGCTTTAATTACTCTGCTTATTGTGATCATGTTTTCCTCTACTTTCTTAAACATTAAATATATTATAATTTCTGCTTTAATTTTCTACTCGCTCTATAATCTGTGCCACTGCTTTGTTTCTGTTGATCTTTCCCCTACTGTCCAAAGTATTTCCTGCTCATTTGTACACCTGCTAATTTTTACTAGAGGCCACAAGTTGTGACCATTACATTACTGGGCTCTGAATTTTACTGTATTTCCTTAAATATTGTTTGGTCTTTGTTCTGTGATGCAGTTAAGTTAGTTAGAATCACTTGATTCTTTGGAGTTTTGTTTTTAGGAACTTCAGAGAAATCAGAGAGGAGCTTTTAGTGTAGGGCTACTTTGACTGTGGAAGTATCTATCCAACGCTTAATGTCTGGCTGAAGAGAGCAGAGAGCACTCATGGCTCGGGGATCCAAGGATTGTTCTGCTTGCTCTTCTCTTGTGGCCTTCCCTCTGCCCTCAGTGGTTTCTTCCAATACACACACAGATCAAAAGCAGCAAAAGATGGAGTCTGCAGATTCTGTGTATCTTACTCTTCTCCCATGTTTTACCGGCAAATTCTAGTCACCTTGGCCTTCAGTAAGCACTTCCTCAATTCAGTAAGAGTGCCAGGACTTGCCATGCTCCCTCCTTGCCCCGTGGCTTGGAAACCCTGAGCTAAGTCACTCTTACAGCTCACTCGGATTAGTTTTCGTCTCTCAGGAATTACTGTCCCCTGCAGACTGTCATCCAGTATTTGAAAATCTACATTTCCTACACATATTTTCTTTGGTTTTATAGTTGTTTAAAATAGAAATGTAGCTGGTCTCCATTATTATCATGCCCTCAAGTTCAAGTTCTCACAGTATTTTTTTTTTTCTTTTTTGCCAATTCGCCTATGGTACTGTGTTTTATTGTTATTTTTTTTATCACTAATTTCCTTCACTAGATTATAAGTTCTTTGAAGCCAGAACGTAGATCTTATTTATGAACAAAATCTTGTAAGTCAGACACTAGAGAAGTCAAAAGGACAAAGAATGGGCAGATCAAGGCTGAGGAAAGAAGCTCTACATGCAGGATTCCCTGGGTTGGGTCTAAGGACATGTCCTTCAACTGTGAGGCTTCTTTCTCCAGGCAAATGCCCAGACTTCCTAGTGTTCAGATCCTCTGGTGGAACCACAACCAACTGCCATGAGCTTCACTGAGGAGGGGCCAGCACCACTGCAACAGCCCAGGCTCTTACATGCCGGCCAGTTCCCATACAGCCTCCCTGCCGAAGAGTTAATTAAGAACTGGCCCTAACCAGCCAGCATTAATTCTTTAAGACCACATCATCATTTGTAATAAGTATTTTGCTGAAAAAACTCTAAAAGGGAAAACAGCAGTCCCCCAAGAGGACTGGCTTCAGGGTCAGAAAGACCCGAAATCCCCAATATGTTTCTTACTTGCTGTGTAACATTGGACAAGTCGCTTGACTAATGTGAACTTTAGTTTCCTTGTATAACTGGAGTGGTACAGAATACCATCTGCCTTAGAGGAAAATCCAGGACATGGGCAACTCCTAATACACGGCAGCCAGTCCTAGGATACTTATGAACCTCCCAGCGGAAACAGAGATTAGGTCTGATGACCAATCTGTGGAAAAAAATTAGTGGCCACCCACTAACATCATTCCTAGAGGAGAAAATTTACCTGGAGGCTATGAAATACATACTGAGTGGGAACCTTGTCTGCTACAGGTTGAGTAGCCTTTATTTGAAATGCTTAGGACCAGAAGGGTTTTAGATTTTCTTTGGGATTTTGGAATATTGGCATATAATAATAAAATGTCTTGGGGATTGGATCCAAGTCTAAACAAAAAGTTTATTTATGTTTCACACATAGCCTGAAGGTAATTTCATGTTTTCCTGAAAATAAGACCTAGCTGGAAAATAACCAGCCATGAAAAACAGAGATCAACAATGCCAGCCCGCATCAGCCTGTCCTTGCCTTACCTGCCTTACAGAGCAGCCACCGAGCAAGAGGACAATGATGGCAGGTTAAGCAAGGATAGGCTGACTGGGGCTGGCATTTTTTAAAAGTTCATTAAGTCTATTGGTACATTTTAGGCATAAAGTACAATTACATTCATCACTGGGAATTTGTACCTTTACATGTTGTATCTTGGTTCTTATTTTTCCCCCTTCCCCTGCCCTCCCTTCAACCCCTCCAGTCCTCCCTATTTACAAAGTCTTTGTTTCCATTTTTTCATTTTCTCATATTAATTCCATTCTCTTCTTTCCTTTCCCCTACCCCTCCCACTTCCCCTTTCCCTTTTTCCCTTTTCTTCCTATTTCACATTATCTCTTATACCTTTTAGTCCTTATTTACACTTTCAGTTTCTCACAACAGAGAAACTATTCAGCATTTACACATGTGTGTCCTGTTTATTTCACTTAGGAGTGTGGCTTTGAGTTCTAGTTTTCAAGGCTGATTCTTTTCCAGCTAGGTCTTATTTTTGGGGAAAGAGGGTTTTACACAATATTTTTAGTGCATCTGTGTTTTGACTTTGACCCATAAGTTTACATAAGTTCAGCTATGGAATTTTCCACTTGTGGCATCATGTCAGCAGGGCTCAGAGTTTCAGATTTTGGAGCATTTCAGATCTAGGATTTTTGGATTAAGGCTGCTTAACTGTAATTATAAACCACAGCCCCCCTCCCCTCCAAAAATCTATTTTCTAACTTACTGGCTATCTCTCCTAGAGTATCCACAAATGTCTCAGGCACAGAGAACATCACATATATGATATATATGATATATAGAGATGCCAAAAAAGAAACTGGTGAGTAAAAGGGTACCTGAGGTCGGGCGTTGTGGTGCCTATCTGTAATCCCAGCATTCTAGGAGGCTGAGGCAGTTGCCCAGCCTGGCAACTAAGAGACTTAGGGAGGCCCTGCCTCAAAATAATAATAATAAAAAAACCAAAAGAGAAAAGGCTAGGAATGTAGCTCAGTGCAATGGCTCTGGGTTCAATCCCCAGCAGTGAAAAAACAAGCAAGCAAAAAACTCCACAAAAAAGCAAAAAACTGGGGGAGGGGGGAGTACCTGAGTTGGCAGAAAGGAGAAAACGCAGGTATGCAGGTATGTTTGATGGAAAAAAGAGGGCAAATGAGTGCAAAAATCAGTGAGCAATTGAGTGATCCGCAAGCTCACACAAGATGCTAATAGAATTTTTCTAGCTGTGAGGTCTTTTTCTTAATAGGGAATTATCAGAACTTTTATAACATTTATTTTAAAAGTCTAAAACAGCAGATTTGAGAGAAAGCCAACAAAATATTTTAATCAGCAAATATAAATGGCCTAAAGAAAGTTTAAAGAACATTTTTTTTAGCTGACAGAAGAGAAATGCAGGAAAGCTGGAAGACTCCCCGCAAGTATAGAAGGGATTATCCGAAACAAAAAGAAGAAAGAAAGGTGCCCATCTGTTCTCCATGTCTAATGATGAATCAAGTGAAAGGACTGGGCTCAATTATAGTGCAAGAGGCTCATTCTTGCAGTAATGGTTATTAAAAATAGAAGTAATTTACTCAGGGTTATCAGAGAATTTATTTCCCCGAAAAAATCTTTAAAAATAGACTAGCCATCCACTTTTCCTGAGCATAACAAAGGTATTATACTCCCGAAGCACCTTCATGGTGCATGAAAGACATTCTACAGGGCCTTTTCTGACTCGGAGTCCACCAAGGGGGACAATCAACAAAGAGTTCACGTGGCTCTCTTGACACACAGGCACTTGCTGCTCTAGGTGGGAGCCCAGACATCTGCTGTCACCTTGGATTTTTGTTTTGTTATTTACAATAAGAGGTACTTTCAAGAAGGGGCCATGCACAGAGTCCTAGGGGGTGGGCTACCTGGAGTACGGAAAGAAGTAGGAGGAAGGGAAGATATTAATTGGCTTTGCCTGTGGAGGTGTGATGGATTATAGGAATGTGTATGGTAATAATGAAAACTTTTTCTTTATGGTGAGATAAATAGAATACTGGACTGCTGTGAGTAGAAACAAATGAATTCCCAAGGTGCCTATATAAAACAAATTCTGCTGAGCACAAAGCTAGGATGGTTTGATGCCCATCATTTCTTGCTTCAGATAAAACAAAACAAAAACATGGGGAACCCTGTTCTTATAGTCCCCAGCAGGGCAACTGAGGGGTTTCCTTCCACCAGCAATGGCAAGGGCACCAATGTGCTCAGAGGATAAAGACATGGGCAAACTGACTGAATTTTCAAGTTCTCATGATTCCATGAAAATCACTGTTAGGTTGCTCAAAATATGGGGCCAAATCTCTATGAACAATCTGCACTCTGGATTCAAGGCACAGAACTTCAGGAGGTGATCAATGGGAGAGTAAATATGTTGGAGGGTTACAAAATAAGAACAGGCAGCTTTGCAGGCTCCTGAACAAGACACAGCACAACTGAGCCTCCAGGAGAAGCAATTTACAGGAGGAACATTGGATACATGATGTGCTCTGATGGGAAATGACCTCTTCATGCATTTCTAGGAGTTATCAAAACTTTATGTCAGGCCACCTCATACTGATTGGTACCTGGAGCCCTAGCAAAATCCTAAAGACCCCAAACAGGGCTCCTGGTATACTATCTGTCCTTGAAGAAGCAGAGTTGTTATGACCCACTCCTCCTCAGTGAAAACCACTGCCAAAACCACAGTTACCAGTGTAGTAACTGGCATGCCTCAGATGTGCTCAGGAAAAAACAAAACAAAACATTGAAAATCTGCATGATCTACAGAAATTCTGTATAGGAGCAATAATCAGGTCAGATGTGGTGTCAAAGGGACATTTTTTGAAAATGTTTGCATAGCAAAGCTACTAATATATTAAAAATAGTAAAGTTTCCTAAAGATGTTTTGTTCACATTTTGTGTAAGACCAAGAACACATCCATCCAGTGAATAATACTCTTATTGTTGTTGTTACCGGGGTGCCTTGAGTACAGACGGAAACACTGAGGGTGCCAAAGCCACCCCTGAGAGCCAGCGTCTCTGATCTGCAGTCTGGGGACTGGCTGGGATGAGCAGCATACTTTGCAGCCTTGGATGAAATTTTTTTCTGACCCAAACTAACCAGTCCTCATCATCAAATAAACAACTCTAGCATTACCAGCACTGCATCCTAGCTACCCCAGATGGTGGCTTAATAGCCTGCAAAAATTAATAGCACACCTCTGAGCACATTATTCACCCAGAGAATAGTTTAGGTAATGGAAAGAATCTGGCCCATTATACCCCACACAATTGCCAAATAATATACAATCACAGAAATGAAGCATGGCATATGGTAATCTCCCCATTATATTGAGATTCATTGTCATAAAAGCACCGTTCAAACCCCTCATAGAAATCTGAAAGGCATACCTTTCTTCTCTGGAAGAAACATTACAATAAGACAGGCCAGGCCTCCTAGACATAGAAATGCTGCTAAAGTCCGCTTCCGACCAAACCTAAATAACACAAAAATTTGTTAATTATGCATTTCTCTCGTGAATCTTATAAATTCATCTGCATCTTCTTCCCAACCTTCCTATTTAAATGTCCTCGGCTTCATTTTTTTTCTCATGGGCTAAGTGACAATCAGGAGCCTGACTGAGGCCTAAAATAACCTTCATTAAAAAGGCGAAACTTGCTTGAAAAGGGATTAAATGACATATATGGGAAAAGAACATCCAATTCTTCCATTTCCATGAGTGTTCACTATGTCCCAGTCACTGTTTTAGATGCTTTCTACTTATTATCTTATTTAATCTTAATAACAAACCTGGAGGCACGCACCATTACACTCTCCATCTTCTAGAAAATAAAACTGAAAAACAGAATAGAGTCTTCTAGCTCATTTAATTTTCTGGTTACCTCAAATGTGTTGAGTTAAAACTTTTAAACACTTTAAAAACTCCCTTTTTCTCAAAAACACAAATGAGAAAATATTTTATGTCAGTGGGTTAAAACGAAGTGAAATGTATTACACACTGAAAAGCCATTATAAAATAAGAGCTCTAGACTGGGAAAAAGATATTAACATTAGTAAGTGTCCTTTTCTAGAGGCCAGCTACATGTCAGGTACTCTGCTAAGAACTTCAACATTATATGTAATTTTGATAACACTTTCGGCAGGGGAATTTTATAATCCCTAGTTTGAGGATGAGCATGATAAAGGTTTAGTAAGAGAACTTGGCAAAATCATAAAACTAACTTGGGGCTAAACCTAGCCTTGAATTCAGGTCTGCCTGGCTCCAAAGGTAGCATCCTTCAGATTTTAATCCTGAGTTAGGGCGGAAGTTGCTGGGGCCGGAAAGGTCCTGAGTCTTCTTTTCCAGGTTATTTTGCTTAACTTAAAGGCAGTATGGGATGGCTTTCAAAAGACACCAACCATGCTAGGTGTTAGGGATGCCTGACACACAATATTCTACACACGCATCTTCCTTACAGCGCTGCCAGTGTTGTCAGAGGCACACACAGGAAGCCACTGCAGCAAAGGAGGGGCCTGCAGCACAACTGGGGATGCTGGGGAAAGCTTCCTGAGCAAGGCATCTGACCCAGGTCCTGGACCACGATGAGGTAAGCTGCAGTCACTCATGGGGGAGTGGAGGCATCTGGAGCACTGTCTGGGATTAAAGCCTCCAGGTGAACAGGGCCCACACCTGCCCTTCCAAATGCTCTCAGCTGGAACACAATGACAACAGTGTCTAGTGCAGTGCTAAAGGAAGCCTTATGTGGGTGAGAATAATTTCTGAAAAATGAGAAAGGGCACAGTCCAAGTGATTCCAAGCTTAAACAGAACAGGGTTTTTAGTCATGTTGGTCAAGGACTAAATAACAGAAATGATCTTTGTTTTTTGTTTTATTTTTTGAGACAGGGTCTCACTATGGAGCTCAGGATGGTCCTGAACTCACTATATGTAGCCCACACTGGCTTCGAACTTGAGGTGTTCCTCCTTCCCCAGCCTCTCTGGTGTTGGGATTATAGGCATGCACCACCACACCCAGCAACAGAAATGATCTTTAGAAAACAGAAGATTGCTCTGTAAAATAACTTGTAAAAGGCATTTCCAAACTGTGCCATTGACCATGAGTGGCAAAAACAGAATGTTTCCTCCCCTCAACAAAGTGGTCTTAGGAAGTAAGAAAAGTCTAATTCCCTCAATTCTTTGTCTTCCTGCTTAGAGGAACTTCTACATATTATTACCTGAATTGATCATGTAGCTAATAATCCCATTTCTTGGGCCTAACAATTTACACATAGTCAACAGTGGTACCTCAGTTCATGAACGCTTTTGTTTACAAACAATTTGGTTCTCAAACAAAAGTGTTTGGCAAAATTTTGTTTTTGTTTGCAAACTCTGAATTGGGTGACAAACATGACTGTGGCCATCTTTCCCACACAAACACAAATGTGGCTGTCTTCTCCAAAGTCGTAGAATAAGTTGAGTTCATGAATTGAGGTATTACTGTACTCAAGACCCTTCAGATGCTAGAGTCTTTCCATACTGGGTTGAAATCTTTTTCTTAGCTGAAACACATGAAAGTCAAGAAACACTCCACTAAAAAATGAATTCTAACTTAATTTGGCCTGAAAGAAAGTAATCACCATGGTAATTAGCAGATATTGACTATGGATGTGTAGGTATTTGTGTACATGAGTTTGTGAGTGTGTCACAAATGTGCATTCTCTGTATTGCACTTTATTTCATCCAAACTCACCATTTCTGGTTAATCAAGTAGATGCAGAGCGGGTAGGATGGAATCTCTACGAGGCCAGACAGCGCCAGGTTGCCATAAATATTTCCACCTAGGTCACCTGCACTCAGAGTGAGGCCATAATACACCAAGCTGCACACGAACCTGCAGTTGGGGCCAAGGGACCGGGAGGTGAGAGACAAGAACACAACAGGCACAAAAAGCACGTAAGACATTGCCAGAGAAGATTAAAGTAGCACAGGTTCCATATAATGCAATCTGCTGCAAGCAATCAGCTTGACTCTCCTGCTAAGCTTTTTGTCTTAATCTGAACGTCTTATTCTAAGAAAAAACAAAATCATGATGGGGGCTTTGGAAATGATTTGTATCTATTTGTTATATAAAGAAAATGGATGGCTCCGCCCCTGCAAAAGGAAAGACATTGTTTGTGCTTTCTCAAGCATTTCTGCATCCTGCGTCGAATAGAAAACAAAGATCTAATTCTGACCTTATTTAACTCAACAATTTATGGAACATTTGCTTATCGCAGTTGTGATATTATCTGAATAACTCTGCAATGGGTCTCCCACGGAGAAAGCCAACAGAAGGTGAATGGAGAAGTGGCATGAGAAAAGCCTGGATCTCCAGTGGTCACCTGGGATCCAGGCACTTCTCAGCACAGCTCTTACAACTGGGAAGAGAAGAGCAGGGTCACAGAGAGCAGGATCCTCTGGGAGGATCAACGGGATGGAACCTTTGCAAAGCTCCTGATGTGTTTACGCACACCATATCCAAAGCACACTGAGGGAGCGAGCGCCTCCTAGCTACAGGGAGCAACTGCAAGATGGCAGTGTGTTGTTTCCCTGTCCCCAAAGAACTTTGGCACAAGGCTAAATAAACTTAAATCCATGCAGTTTTCTAAAATATTCTTAAAGTGCTTTCTGCCTGGAGGAGAGACTTTACTCTTACACAATGCTATGGCATTTCCCAGTGGGTTCCCTGTGTTTGTGCCTATTCTGCATTTGAAATACAAATCCCTGGGCCGGAGATTTAGCTCAGTGGTTTCACCGCCTGCTACGCAAGTGCAAGGAACCGAGTTCGATCCCCAGTACCAAACAAATAAATAAATAAATAAAATACAAATCCCTCGCCCTTCCAAAAAGACATGAAAGTAGAAGGGAGACTATTAGAGAAGAGAGAGAGGACTTGGGAAGGGAGGATGAGAGGGAAGGGAAGGCCATGGGAGGAAAGGATAGGAGCAAAGTATCTTATATGCATATATGAAGACGTCACAATGAAACCTATTCTTCTATATAATTAACATGCACCAATAATAATCTTTAAAAACCCAGTAATTCCAGTGAAGTAATTTCAGCCAAAAAAACATAACTATTTAAACAAAGTCGGTATGGTATCAAGGCAGGACAAGAATAAACAAAGCCAGTTCAGAACAATAGGGGAATTTAGGTACCAGCTGGCAGTGAGAGGACAGCAGAACATGAGGCTCCGGAGTCCTTTTTGTCCCCAAGGCTGGGCCTCTGATCCGTGAGTTGTCTTTGTGACAGAGCTGGTCATTGGGATCCATAATTATAGCTATTAAGATCATTTCCATTCTCTTTATGTGCCCCAAACAAAATTTAAAGCGCTTGCATAATATTTAACAGTATATTTAGAGCATCAAAGAACTATTTAAAACGGCACTATTATAGGAAATAACCAAAGGAACAGATGTTAAACACAGAGGTATAATTTTAGTCCCGTTAAAGCCTTCTTCAATGACAGATCCACAGAAAAGATTTTAGAATTTTATAGCCTCTTCAAAAAGAACGACAATATCTGGAATGACATTGCCTCAATTATTGCACATTTTAATATTCTGAGCCCAAGGGAAGAAGGTTATTTGAGAAGAGCCCCTTTGGCTTTGTAAGAAATAAAATAAACAGGGACAAACTCCTTGGCCTCAAATCTAGGTTTTAAAAAAATCTTGTAAAGGTCAAAACCTAGACATACTTGGAAAAAATTAATATACCTAGAAAAAAGTAAAAACTTATAAACAAAAACAATAAATTATCTGCAACAAGTAGTTACTTCTTTCAAGGCAGAGGATTTGACTGTCCATGAAATCTGCAAACATAGTTTTACAGAGCCCTAAGCACCTGAACATACTTTATAAGTATTTGCTTTTGAATAGAAAGAACCTCAAATGAGCACCTCCTATGCTATATTGCTAGGTCTGCTTCTCAAAAGTTCTCTTAATCGCTGTCCCCCCGAGCTTGTGCTCTTCTTTCAGCATTCATTATGTATCTGTGATTCTTCCACACTGTGCTAGTTCTATGGAGGAACCATATGGGTGGCAGTTGGTGGGACACAGCCCTTACTCATACAAGGGAAGCCAGTGTGTGGGTAGAAAAAGAGAATTACCATATGGACACATCTTCTCAGCTTCTTATTTTCAAGAAACTGCTCTTTTCAGCTTTATACTTATAAGACTGTTTTCAAATGAAGTCACCGTCCCTTATCCTTCCATGACAGGTTCCCATGCACCCCTTACAGTTTATTCCGTACAAAGCAACATAGCAAAACCATCCTTTAGGCCAGTACATATGATGATCCTGCCCCAAACTGGACCAAGTAACATTTGCAGCATTGTAGCAGAATGTACACGTGCAGCTCACAAACTGTATGCGGCCATGTATGTCTCCCCTTTCTACAACTCATCCTTTAAATGGAATCATCTGGAACCCTGATTGCAAATTACATTAATTCTGAAAGTATGTTGAGAGACAGGGGGCCTACACTAAAACCAAAAAATCAAGTTCAGGGAGTGCTGATCACTGATTTGACACGAAGCTTTGGATCCACTGGATCCCATCTACACAACGGAGGACATTTCCCCGGGGGTGAGGTAGTGAATAGAATGCCACACAAACCGTGGTCCCAGGCACTGCAGCTGGAAAGTGCCGAGGAACTGCTTCATGCCACAACCCAAAGTAGGCACTCCTAAAATCCTGTGTAGACACTGTTCAGTTTCTTTCTGGCCCCTCCCCCAGCTTTGAGGGTGAGGCATTACATATTTATCATAAGTACCTCGTGAGCAAAGACATGTCTCTGATCTCTACTCAAATTCAGTAAATGCACCCAGCAGGCCCCCTCATCTGCTGGTGGACAGAAATGGGGCTGTGTAAGCAGAGTGTCCACAGGTGCTAAGGGTCAGAGGCCTCGTTTTGTGAAAAACAACTTCATGCTGACACGAGGTAAAACGCCGAAACTCTGCAGATGGAATGAAATATTGAGAGATCTTTAGCAACCTGTGTGGAAGATCGAAGAGACACCCCCCAGATTTACCCACCAGATGAACATCAGGATCAGAGTGTGTCCTAAGAGGATCCGGTACCGGAACAGATCCAAGAAACTTCCGGTCTCCTTGTAGCTCCTGTTGGCCGGATGTGTTAGTGAGAATGTGCCCTTTAGCTTGCGGTTCCTCTTGGCAATGAGGTAGAGTGTCTCTTCCGCCTCACTCAGTCGACCCTGGGAGTATAACCAACGAGGTGATTCAGGAATGAATCTGAAAGAGATGTCATTAAAGGCTGTGTATTCATATAGGCGTATGGGCAGAAGGAGGAGAGAAATCACCCACTCAGTACATGGAGTCTTTCACCACAGCTGGTTTGCATCTGACATTTAAAGCTTAACTCTCCCAATGAAAAATGAACAGAAAGAGAAAATGGGCTGCTTTCAACAGTGTACCAATGTGAACGTAGCCTTATTCATCAATACAAACCAAGAACATGCTTCCAAAACACCAGTCAAAAGCTAAACAATTTGCATTTATTTTTATATAAAATTATCTTATACTAATTAAATTTAAAGAAATTTAAGTTGAATAGCAAGACCATAGTACTAAATAATGTAAATTCTTCATAATGCATGGATCAAGAACACAGTGCTAAATCCTAACCAGTTATAGTTGGAAAACTACAGCAGAGAGAGTAGGTTTTTTAAGTTCTGAAAAAGTTTCACATGAGAATGTAAATTTTTCTTAACTCATCAGATGAAGAAATTTTTAACAAGTCAGGGTTTTTAATATCATGACATTTTATTTAGGAGGGAGAGTTTTTTAAGACTAGGCATAGAAATTTTAAAAGTTTATTACATCTCAGCTACTTTTGAGTTTTACTGCTTCAAAATGTTCTATCACCCAACACATCAGCTTTATTTATTTATATTTTTTAATTTTTTAATTTTTAAATTTTTAAAAAAATTTTATTTATTTTAAAATTATTTTTATTTTTTTATTTTTTATTTTATTTATTTATTTTTTTAACACCAGCTTTATTATGTCCTCAGGACCTTTCATGATCCACCTAGACCTTAAAGAATAAAAGTTATTTTCGGGTTAATTTCTAGTCGCTGAACAACAGTTATTTTCTGATACAACTATAAAATATTGTCACTGCTATATTCACCCAGTTCTAAGCCCTGGACATTATTGTAGTTTTGACTTTTCACCATGTTGGAGGACTTCTCAGACAAAATCGTGGCAGGAACATGGAAACTTTGTTTACTAGACATAACATCAAGTACTCTTTGATCTAATTGACATTTTCAGCCAAAAATAAAACTTGGATGAATAATATTTAAGGACAGTGAATTAGCAAAAAGCACTATGGGCCTTGGAAGCTTAATGGACGGCCAGCCTGTCAATAACCATTTACTGAGCGCTTCTATTTTGTACAAAGCAATGTAACAGGTGTTGAGAGGCAAATATTGCAAACCAAAATCAGGAGTTTTCCCAGGAGTTTTGTTACTGGGGAAGAGAATATTTATGCACAACATTTGATTACCAGCAACAGCAGGGACAAAGCCTGTCTACAACATCTTGGAAAAAATCCCTTTATTTCCTTCCTCATTGCCATTTGATTATATTACGGATATGCAAGTAAATAATCAAGTAAAACACTGTTCCTTTGAAAGATATGTCTACCAATCGTCAGCTGGATCAACTGACCCTATCTGTGTTCAGGACCACAGAGAAGACGCTGTGATGACTAGACAGTGAAAATATATGATAATAAAAATTAAATGTAGGTAGGATTAAAAGGAGTAAAAAAGAACCAGTAAGAAATACAGCAAAATATTAATGATCATTACCTTTGGGTAATGTAAGTCACTGCCTCCACCCTTAAGCTTCTCTGTATTTTCAGAATTGTTTAGAAGCATCAATATTAATTTTGAAACTTTATATACCACCTTTGAAGATAATAGTTGAAAAACATTCAGGGTTTGGAAAATTGATTGAGCTACTAAATGATGTCTCCTTGGAAAAGATTTATCTTGATCATGCAAACTTAAGACCTTGTATTTCTTTGCATTTTTGAGAAGCCAACAGTTCACTCACACGAAAGATCGCCTATTTGGATGGACAATGGGCGGATGACCTCTGACACGTGAAAAATTGTACGTACAAAACAGTGAGATGTGCTTTTAAAAGAAAAAGCAGGCCTTTAAACACTGCCTTCTGCAGAGTAGCCTGGTCATCTTTGTAAATGCTAACTTAACCATGATCCTTCTGCTTACAAATATTCTGTGAATATCTTTAAAGGCAGCAAATCTTTGTAAGAGGGCAGTGATCTACAGAAAAGAATAAAACTATTCAAATTCAAATATTGTGAAAATATGAATTTTTAAGCTAGGTAAAAATGTTTCCACTAGACAAACAAGGCATGACTATAAAATAATGTTGCTAATGGTTAACTATGAATGTGATTAGAAATGTTTGTCCAATGCACACAAAGAATCTACTGCATGAAAGGCTGTGGCTTTGGTGCTGGAGGAAATACAATTCTTGAGCAAAAAGCCTGCTGCTGTCCAAGGGCTCTGGGTTCAGGGAGATGGAGCTCCAGCTTGAGGCAGAAAAACAAGGGCCACACAAGGGGTCCCAATACCTGGTGAGGAATTCTTTAAAGAAAGAGAATGACTTGTAATGGGGGTGTGGCCTGCAAAAGCTTGGGGAGGATGGCAGTTCCCCCGAGAGGGTGGTTGAGGATTAACTGAAGAAGCAGAAATGGAGAGGAGGGCATTGAAAGTGCAGGCACAGCCCTGGGTAGAGCCAGGAGCAGAAGAACGCAAGAGGCACACTGGGAACAACCTGCAGCTTGGTGGGCCGGGAAGAGGTGTGGAAACTGGGCGGGAGAGAGAAAGGAGATGGCAGAAGAGCCTGTGGGAGGCCTTCTGTTCCCAGCTTAATGGAATAAGTATGTATTTAAATCTCACCTGGCTTTTCCCTTCTATTTTCTATTGTGCGTGACCTGAATTCATTTCCAATTCAGGTCCATCTAGTACTAAGCAGTAACTAACTCAGATCACAAACAGAAAAAGAAAAGCAGAATGATTCAGGACTACTGAAGGAGAGAAGAGAGCCACGCTGAAAGGAGAAGTACGAGCTTCATTAAGTACCTGAAAAGAAGACTCATTCATTCATCAAGATTTGCATGAATGCTTATTTACTAAGATACTATGTGAGGTACTCACTTATTACTTTCAAAAATGCACAATATATAAGCTAATCAATTACTGTTACTATTTCCACTGTGTTCATTGCTGCACTTAATGTTCTTTCTTTCAAAGTCAGTATAAAAACAAATTTCAATTCATTTCCCACCAAATGTCAATTAAAAACCTGAATAAAGGGGGCCGGGGATTTAGCTCAGTGGTTTCGCCGCCTGCTGCGCAAGTGCAAGGACCCGAGTTTGATCCCCGACACACACACAAAAAAACCTGAATAAAAAGCCACTATCTGGATTAAAATACTATCAGTGGTAATATTTTATTTTGTGCCACTTTATGGCACAAAAGAATGCTGGCACTATGAGCTGAAAATTTTGTTTACGCCAAAGATTTTAATGATTAAACTTCGAGATCTGAAACCTCAGGGAAGAAAAACTTTTCATAAACCACATCAGAACGTGTGGTGAACTGGACTGAACTTGGTGTGGACCCTTAGGGAGTTGTTTATGAAGCCCTGCTTTGACCAGGCAAATCATCCTGGTCCTGCTTTGAGTCTCTGGTCTAACGATGCCTCTCACACGCCACACTCTTCCAGAATCCACATGTAGGGTCTCTGAACTGAGACTCACCTGTAGGATGGAACATTGTCACTGGATATTCAGTATGAATACCTGGCTCAACGATATCACAACTGAGTTACACGCCTACCCCCATGGTCTGATCCAGGATGCAGATCTTTTCACTTTAGGCATTAGCTTTAAAAAGAAATTGATTTCCTATGCCAGATTTGAGGTTAAAATGCATTCTATTGACAGGTTGCTTTAAACAAGGAATACCTGCATTCTGAATTAATTAAGCAACACCTCTCTTCCCAGGAGCTGTCAAGAATTGGAACATTGCTTGCAGAGTTTAGCTCCTCCCCAAAGTCAGTGCAGGCAAGCTCCTGAAAGGGAAAACTCTTCATCGACCCAAATTCACTTACTGAATTGAAACCCTAAGAAGAAAAACTACTTACAAAGATAAAAGAAAGACCATTGTTCCCTGTAGGTTAACCAGAACGGCCAGAGTCCTCCAGGAGCGAATGAAGTATCCTAACAGGGCATACTGGGCAATGCCAATTGCAAAGAAGAGGCCACCAATGGATCCTAATTCAGGAAAAAGAAAACTGTCACTGGAGAAAGCATGGTCTGCAGCGATTTCCAATCCCAAGTCACAGAGCTGATCACTTCCTTGTGAGACGTCAGCCTTACCCTGGCAAGGTGAGACGCAGAGCAGAAAGGAAAAATCCACACAGACACTCAGCATCAGAAAATACAACCACAAGGGGTTGATCATAAAATACAGGGACTATTTAAAATTTTTAAGTATTTCAGTAAAAGACACATTGCCATTAATCTCCCTCAAAATACTCTCTCTCATCCAAACACATTTATCCCATTCCTGTCACTTTCTGAAGTAGTTTACCTTCATGATCATTTTGACTTTGGGCAGGAGCCAGAAGTTGCAGATCTGGTGAATAAGGTAGATGAAGACACGCCATAACATTTTCCTTTCACAGAAATTGCCGTAGACATTTTGAATCGATTTAGGACATGGAGGCAGCCAGGATGATACAACTAAAGGCACTCACTAAAAAGGGCTTTCAGAATTGCTTCTGAATGTGGCAAGAATAACAGGGTTGTGTTCGAAGTGAGGGAGAATATGTGGCTGAGACTTAGAGATATTCTTGCCATATGAGTAATATGGTTTTCAGGTCATACAGTTATTTTAATGCTGGTCTTAATTTTTACAATAGAGCCTATCCTTGAAATCCTTACCTTAAATCACTGACCATTCCCTAATTCTCTTTACCAACTGTCCTCTCTTAATGTATCACCATCAGATGTAAGACAGTTTACATTTATTTCGCTCTTGCCCATCTCTCCCAAGTAGAACATAAGATTTCTGAAGCATGGATTTTTGTCAGCACAGTGATGAAAAAATATCAACTATGGAATTGTAAGTAATCTTACACTTGTTTCAAAGGAGTATTGAGGTGAGTATTAAAGACACTGACTTACCCTATATTCTTGCATTTTTCCACACCTTTGATATACTTCCTATATTCCTATTAGCATTATTAGTCTCCTGAAAAGCTATTTATGGAGTATAATAGTTTTGCACACATTGTTCTATTAGGCAGGTACCATTATCAATCACATACTAAAGTGAAGAAATTGCTCAGAGAGATTAAGGAAAACTGCATAAGGACATGGAGGTGTATGTGGCAAGGCTGGGACTTGTATCCAGGTGTGTCTCATTGGAGGGCTGCATTCTTCACCATTCTTTTCTCTTCTATGGAAAGGCAGCTCTGTGGACATTCCACAGCAACAGGACTTTGATGAGCTCACTATAAAAATTTTCTACAATAACCCTATGAAGCAAATGTTTTCTGATTGCTGTTCATAGCTTATCACTACATAATGACTTGCATAATATTTGCCTTAGTGAGGAAAAGGAGGAAGCAAAAAGGGGAACTGATGCAACAGCGCTATGTTCAGTGTGCTTGGAACACACGCTCTGATTAGTAAGGGAAAGGGACCGTGTGATTTCCCTGGAAATTTAAGATAATCAATAGCTATGACTGGTTCATTACAGTGCAGCAAACAGCACCTGGGTCCAAGAATAAAGCTTCTTCTCATTGCTCACAATGGTTCTAAAATGTTAGTATCCACTGATAGCAATGTAGGCAAAGAGAAGACAACCCAGAGGGTGGGATGGTTTCAATTGTCCAAGTGTGGACCCTATGTCGGAGCTCTGTCACATGCTGCTGTGTGACCTTGGGCAAGTCACTAAATGTCTCTGAGCCTTGGTATTCTCATTGGTGTAAGAGAAATAATAACATCCACTTCAAAGGGTAGTTTCTGTTAGTTTCAGATGAAATAATGATGCATGTTGTATGAAATGTTATATTGTTCTACTGTAATCTGGGTTTAGCTTTTTATATCTACTAACAGAAAGAAAAGAAAAATTTAAAAGCAGCCTGAAAGCCTCCATTTTGCAATATTTTCAATCTCAATTTCCCTTCTAATTGCAAGAGCCCTCTAATCCCACTCTCTTGCAGAACTGAGCCCATCTGATGTCATCTTTGCAATTCGAGTGCTGGCTGCCGATCATAGCCCCCCTAGCTGCAGGGTGGAACCAGGAGACCTCTTACCCAGGACTTTAAGTGCCGGACTTGGCCCTGCTTCGCCCCATCTTTCACTAAGCAAAAGCAGCTCCTGAGAGGATGGGGGGAGAGATGAGAAGCATCTAGCCTCCTGGTCCCAGGCATCTCTGATGCTGGCACCATTACCTGGTTAGATGGCATGATTTCCCACTCTATGCAGGCTCTTCAGAGTCTAGTCTTTGTCACAATGGTGAGAATTGGTATTCGACTGGATATGACAGACATGATTTACAACAGCTGGTTTGGTGACCTGAAGTACTGTGATAGCATTATGGAGGCAGAAGTCCCACAAGACGATCTCAATTGTAGGAGGAAAGCAAGCAGTATGTTTTATTTGAGGGGCCAATAGATAATCTTACGGAAGCTACATATGTGTGCGCAGAAATGACCGCAGGGATAACCCTTAGAGCTACAGGTGTGGTAAAGCTGTAAGTTATCTGGTTCAAGAAATTAGTTTAAAAATGGAACATGTCAAATACTGCACTTCTGGGCTACTACAGGTAGTTTTGTAACTATTCATGGACCTTTGGGTTTTTACACTTATTTTTCAGATTTATTTTCTCCTCATTTTAAATTAATTTCAAGTCTGCTATTCCCACTAGATTTGCATTTAGTAAAGGCCACATTTTTGGCAGGTTAGAAAACACTGTCCAGGGCCAGGGATTTAGCTCAGTGGTGCTGCTGCCTGCCTCACAAGCTCAAGGTCCTGAGTTCAATCCCCGGTACCAAAAAACAAAAACCAAAAAACCAAAAAAAATGAAAACAAAAAACCCCTAGGCTCTTCTAAGACACTTGATTTCCATTAACAGAAAACAGTGTCTAGTTCTGACTGCATTCTGTAAATGGCATGAATGTTCTACCCCATTTTCAGACACAAGCCCTAAAGTCTCCCTGAGTCCTCTTTCTCTCCTTGTTTCCGCTGATCCAGCAGCAGCTCGTGTCCCAGCTCAAATGCACCCTCTCTCCCCCTCCACAGCTCCACTGAGTCCAGGTCTCCATTGTTTTGTGGCCAGCTACCCTGTCTCCTAGCTGATTCCCCAGCTTCTCCTTCCTCCTCTTGCCCCTTCTTTACATGCCTCCAAGAGCAGCATTTCTGTGTATGAGATTCTATTGCTCTTCCGGGGAGTGTACCTCACTGGCTTCCCACTGCACTTGGAATAAAGAATAAATTCCTCATTTGGCTGGGCATGGCCCCTCTGTCATCTGGTTCCTCCCAATCTTATCTCACTTCTTTCATCCCCTCAAAGGAGGGTGGCCACAGGGAAACTTTCAGGGCCTGGAAGAAACTCCTTCTTGCCTCCGGCTTGGTCCCTGGCTAGAATGCTCTCCTGAATGTCATATGCCAGAGCTTCCTCCTCACTCATGTCCTAGATGAAACTTCTACACTGCACTGAGGTTTTCTCTAACCACCCTTTTCAATGTCGCTATTCCCACAATCACGTCTAGCCCATCAGCCTGCTTCATTTTCTTCACCGTCTTTAGAATTTTCTGAAATTGGTCATATTTGCTTTGCTTCTCCTAATTAAAAAACAAGGTTCAAGATAGCAGGGACTGTCTCCGACCCATCCCTGTCTTATCTACTTATTTTATCCAAAGTGCTTTTTAAAAAATAATGACAGGGTTTGTTAATAAGTGGGAGTTGCGGAGCAGGGACGGACAGGAAGAGATTTCCAAGGTGGACAGTGATACAGTAACCGGTAGTCTGGAGATGGGTGTGATTATATGTATTCTTTACATTTGACGTATGAATCAATTCTTTATGGTACAAAGAGAAATTAAGACAAATAAATACATTGTGGAATTTTCATAGCTTTAGTATTTTATTTCATTTGTTAAATTCTCAGTAACTTTTGTTTAGCCTCATTCTTGCTATGCACTACGCTGCACCTGGATGAAATAGATGCTCTCAGTCTGTACTTGTGCCTTGTTTGTTCATACTTTACACACTATCTATACTACAAAATTAGTAATCGGGCATGATTTTTCAAGCTAATTTTTTATTGAAAAATAATTAGGCTATTTCCAATGAATCCCTGATTGCTAAACATTTAGGGTTTTGTCCCAACTTCTTGCAGCTCATTACATGTTAGAAACCACGGGGGTTTATAAGATTGTGCTGGAGCCGGGGGATTTAGCTCAGTGGTTCCGCCGCCTGCCTCGCAAGCGCAAGGTCCCAAGTTCGATCTCCGGTACGAAAAAAAAAAAGATTGTGCTGGAAAGAAATCAACTTGGAAAGAAAGGCCAAGGACAAAATTCCTAGGAAGATCCACGCTGCCTTGGAGCCTTCCTTTCGTCCCTCATAAGGTCCGAGTCTTGGCCTCCAGGGGGCGCTGTCACTCGCTCTCCATTTCACATTGAATTGGGCAACCATCTGGCTCTACTGTTAGTGTTTTTTTTCTTTCCTTCCTTTTTTCTTTGCTACAGAAATTTTAATTGCCTCATCTTAACCCAGCTTCAAGGGCAAGAATGGGAGGTTAAAGCCCTTCAACAGGAATCTTTCCACTGGCTTTATGTGACTGGCAAGGGAACACGGGACCAAGGAGTTTTTCTTTTTACACACCATATGTAACAGACCAGGAAAAAATCCTTAGATAATCTGTCAGGGGGAGGGTAAAACACATCTTTTTTCCAAGAGCAATTTTATGGAACTAAAGTCAAATGTGATTTTAATAGAGAAATGTACAAGTGCCTGAAAAATATGTAGTTATGATGCTCAGTGTCCATAAGACTTTGGGCCTCCAGTCAACCAAAACTACAGGAGAGGCCACCTTTGTGCCTGCTCTGCATACAGGGAGTGGCAACAATCACTTCACTAATTCCTTGGAAAATTCCTCTCAGCAAGTCTGAACTCATGCTTCAGAAAAATGACATTGTACAGCTCAGTGGTATGGCATCTGCCTAGTTCTCAATATGTACAAGGTGCTAGGTTCAAGCTCCAATACCAAAAAGAAAACAATAGAAATGACACTAAAGTCTCAATGAAAAATGAAAACTCTAATGAAGTTTGCTCATGAATCCTTAGGAGTCCTTAGGAGCTGGGCTGGAGGAAATAAGCAGCTTGTCCCAAAAGTCTCTGAAAGCTGCTGTAGAGGAAGTAAATCACAAAACATACTGTGTGAGGACCAGCAGGAAGTCTGTCAGTCTAGGATGGAGCTGGTCCTGGGCATCCTTCAGCTCAACATCAGCTTCATGGATATATACACAGAGCGGGAGTCTATTTTATTTAGCCTCTGTCTCTTGGCTCGGTGTGAGAGCCTGCACACATTCCAAAACACCAGTTAGAAATCACTGGTTGACCAGGTTCAGTGACATGACATGCTGAAATCCCACAAGGGCAGTCCTAAGGGACAGTGGGAAGATGTGTGCTTAGGTGTCAGCCACACCTGTGCTTCAGTGGGCCCTATCAGTCATGAGCTGTGGGCAGATGTGTCACCTCCCCTCTCAGAGCTTCAGCTTCCTTACCCATAAAATGAGGGTAGAAATTCTTAACAGTGAGCTCTGGGAATATTACAGATAAATGTCAAATGCCCAGTGTGCTACTTGGCATGTAATAGATGCCCAGAAAATGATAGCCAGCCCTGGGCATTAGTCTCTCTCATATACACCCTCACTTAGGTGCATTTTTATCAGTCACTAGTCAGCGTGTTTCCATATGGTAAAATCGTAATCAGTGATTGTCAAGTGAATGAAAGCAAGACAAACAAAAAGTTATCACTGTATCCTATGATACAAGAAGCAGAATCTTTAGACACAGGCACTCTCTCCAGACAGTATTTTAAGTCAAATCAACTGTTATAATCATTTATTTCTCTATATAGGTAGTTCTTGAGGAGATGATGGGATTGTGAAAAATAATGTAGAATATGGCTTCAAGTAGGATATTTAGCATCAGTAAAGGAATGCTACAATCATACCATGTATTGATTTGAACAGAAGAGTAAAAGTGAGAAAGGCCATGGAACAAGGATTTAAGAAAATATAACAAGGTTTCAAGAAAGGAGTTTCTAGCATTGCTCTCTCTGTACTATCTCCCACTCTGGGTAAAGAGCAGTCAGTGCTGTTCCAGGAATGCTGTCCAGTTGTCTGGAGACATGTCATGGGGCGAGTGACCAGCTCACGGGGAGGCAGGCACCAGAGGGACTTTCTACTGCAGAATATGAATTAAATGATTTCTTGAACTCACACAGATCAAACTCAGGAAAGAGAATCTAATACAGGCTGAGCATCCCTAATATGAAAATCCAAATTCTAAAATGCTCCAAAATTGGCTTTTTAAACACTGACATGACACCAAGTAGAAATTTCTATACCTGACCTCATGCAATGGGTTGGTCCAAACGCAGGTGCATGAAAAATACTGTATAAAATTACTTTCAAACGATGTGCACAAGGTGTATATGAAATGTAAATGCATTTTGTGTTTAGACTAGGCTCCCTTCCCCAAGACATTTGATTATGTATCCGTAAATATTCCAAAATTTGAAATATGAAACACTTCCGGTCCTGAGCATTTGGAATAAGCACTATTCAGTCTGTAGTTGGAGAAGACATCTTAAGTTCAAATGCATTTTTGGGCTCTAGGGATAAACTGGTTCCCTGCAAGGCTTTTCAGAGCCACTAAACATGTCCAGATCTGCATGAATGTGAGTAATACCTGCCAGAGCCCAGTAGGCGGCGCCCACGCATTCATTCAGCAGGACAAAGGCCACCAGCGACATCCCTCCATTCATCATGCCCACCAAGAAGCGGGTTACTGTAAAGAACTCATACGAGGGGGAAAATCCATTTGCAATAGCAAATAAGATGTCAAGAGCAAAACCTAGAAAGAGAGAAACAGTATTCAGTGATCCAGAAGCAAATCAGCAGTTGCTGAAAGTAATAAATTATACTCATTAGTTTGTAAAATAAACCTTCATAAACGTAAATTTCCTGAACTAGGTTTTTTTTCTAAGTCTCTCTTGAAAACTAACAGAACGCCAGGGTTTGCTTTTTTTTGCTTCACAATTTCTGTCTATTGCACAGAATTTTCAATTATTCAAAATAGTGCTCAGCTTATCCATGCTCAGCTTGTCAAGTGAACTATGCCAACCAAGCCCTGCGGAGCCCATTTGAAATGAATCAGCACCGGGAGATGTGAAAACCACATCTAGAAGACTGTCTCCATCTTTCACTGCTTTCCTTGGAAACACAGCATAAACTGCAATTTGGGGGCGGCAAAAAGCACCATCACATACCGAAAGTTTTCAACACAAATCTCTGGCCTTAACCTGGTGAGCTGGTCACTGAAAACCACTTGGCCGAATCAGCTCTGACTGAAGTGCGCTTTCTTGCCCGTGTAATGAAAAACTCTGTCCCCACATGCCGATTCTCCAAGGACTTTAAGCAAACAGTCCCATTGTCATTTCCCTGAGAATCTCAGGGACACAAGAGCTCTTACTCAGTTCACGGACACTCTGATAGGTTACCTGTGAGATAGACTTTTTTCCTTCCAAAGCGGTCCGACAGCTGACCAAAAGAGATGACGCCAACAAACACGCCACTGAAGAAGAAGGAGCTGGCTGCACTAACTTTGTAAGATCTGTTGGCAATTAAAAACCACTGGAGGAAGAAAAAAAATAAAAGGGAGACATTTAGATCACAGGAAAAAAAATGGATGGACTGAGTTAGCTATTAAAAAACAAAGGTACAGCCAGAAGAATGTACCACAAATACTTGGATGTAGTAACTTCTCCACTTAAATATCTGAAGAGCCTGGATAATCAGAAACACCAGAAACCATTGTTATTACATAGTCCTATTCCCATAGAATTCTCCACATATCTTATTACACAAGTGCACACGGGATGTAAGAGCTACTTACTTATGTAATTGTTGAGTATCCTTCCCCCTAAGCCCCTGTGTTTCTTGAAAGAAGGTGGCTTATATTTTTCCATTTCTCTGATGCCTGTGAATCAATCCTATGGCATATATGAAGCAATAAATGAACCATCCTTTTGTTCAACAGATTAGTATGTTGAAAATCCCTTAAGTCTATTCCTCAAAAAAATTGCACATTAAATCAAATATCCAGCAATTCCACTTGTGTATTTATATCCCAAAGGATTGAAAACAGGGGCATGAAAAGGTATTAGAACACTCATGTTCACAGAAACATCACTCATAGCAGTCAAGGTGCAAGCATCCAGTACCTATCCATCAATGGATGAATGGCTAAACAAAGTGTGCTTTTCATATAGAATGGAGTATTACTCAGCCTAGAAAAGGACTGAAGTTCAGATTCATGCTACAACAAAGACATTGCTAAGTAAAATAAGCCAGACACAAGATAGAGATTTCATGATTCCACTTATATGAGGTACCTGCAAGAGTCAACTTCATAGAGACAGAAAGTAAAACAGTGTTTACTAGGGTGAAGTGGGAAGGGAAGCAGGAATCACTGTCTAATGGGAGTAGAGTTTATATTTAGAAAGAAGAGAACGTCCTGGAGATGGGCAGTAGTGATGGTTGCAAAATAATGCGTGGATCCACTTAATGCCACTGAAGTACACATTTAAATGTAACTGAAATGGTAATCTTTAGGCCAGAGATACTTACCACAGTGAAAAATTCCTGAGAACTATTATCTTCTACTTTAGGGCAATTTATAAATGCAATCACCCATTTCTTCAAGCACTAATACTGGAAACCTTGCCGAGTGGTGTGTTAGTGGTGTTTGGTACAAGGATAAAAGTGCACCCCAAGACCATTCATCTTTCCTCTACCCTGGCCCCTTCCCTAGAGCCAGCAGTGCCCAGTGTCTGAAGAACCCCTTCTCAACATAAGCCTGCAAGACAGCACCCTCCTTGGTTCCCCTTCTCTCCTTTCCAGACCTCTCCTTTCCCAGGCTTTGACCTTTTTTGACCTTTTGAGCCACCATATGGCTCAAGAGGCATTTCTGATCTCTCTCCTTCCCTGGTGTTTCCTGTACGCCTGGACTGATAAGGATTCTGACAAGACAGCATGTATACATATACTAAGGGACTGGGAAATGATGCCTCCTCAACTAATCCTGTACTTATTTCTAAATTCACCCACTCTTAACAAGGTTAATTAACTGATTTTCTTAGTCCTCTCTGTACTTGGGATGTTCAATGTCACCCAGAGACTCATGTCTCTTGATACATCAAAAGCTTGGTTACTGAGGAGGTGAAACGGGGAGGCAGTGGGACCTCTGGGAGGGCTGCGGGTCACTGGAGGAGTTCTGATTCATGCAGCAACATGAGTGAAGGATTCTGTGGAACCCTGGCCCCTTCTGCTCCCTATTTTGTTGTTGGGTTTTTTTTTCTTTTTCCTTTTTTTGCAGTACCGGCGATTGAACCCAGGACCTTGTACTTGTGAGGCAGGCACGGTGGCACTGAGCTAAATCCCCAGCCCGTTCACTCCCTGTTTTGTATCCTGGCCATGAGATGAGCAGTCTGCTTCACCTTGAGTGCCCCATCACTGCCATCTGGGATCCCACTAGGGATCTAAAGACTTGAGTTTTAATTTCTAAAACTGTGAGACAAAAACCAACCTTTCATTTTTATAATTAACTAAAGCACTTTGTTATAATGACAGAAGCTGACCAGCAAAGAGAATTAGTAGCGAGAAGTGGGGCCACTGACAACAGCCATACCTGACAATGTGGAGAAGCCTCGAGCTGGTTTATCAGAGGACTCTGGAAGAGTTTGGAGGAGCAGGCTGGAAAGGATGCAGAACACCCTAAGCAGAGCTTAAGGGGGAAGTCTGGTGGCAGCTCAGAAGACCAGAATGTTGACAGGAATATGGACAAGAAAGGTTATATTAATGAGGTTTCAAATGGAAATGAGGATTCTCCTGGGAGTTGGACTAAAGGTTACCTTTGTCACAGAATGGGAAAAAAAAATTGCATGCATTTTGTCCATGTCTTGATGCTTTATGGGAGGCAAAGCTTAAAAGTGATGGATTAGTTATCTTGTGTAGAAAATTTCAAAGCAGCAAAGCATTCAAACTGTGGCATGAATTGGGACGGCGAAGTAAAAAGCTGGAAGGACCCAAGTGTCTGAGAACACTGTGCCGGGCACCTTGGTGCCGGTCTGTTGTTTTGTGAAGTCAGAACTGACAGGATTCGCTGAAGAGGAAATGTGGCAGGGGAGGACGGAAGGGCAGCATCACCTGGGTTTTAAAAGTTAGCCACTCAGTGGTTGGTTATGACATTTATGGAGCTAGAGAAACCGGCAAGGGGTGTCAGGTATAAGATGGGAAATTAAGGGTTCTGTTTAGAGATGCTCAGACAGAGCATGCCTCTGAAACATATAAGTGGATGCCAGGCAGGCATTTGGATGCGAGTCTTGAGCCCATGGGAGAAGTTATAAGGGTTTATGAAACTATCAGCAGAGAAGGCTCAGGACTGAGGCTCAAAACACTTCCACATTCAGAGGCTGAGAAGAAGAGAACCATTATAGAAAACTTATAAGCAGAGTCCACAGAGATAGCAGGAAGACAGGAAGGGGCAGAAGCCACGAAAGGAAACCTGACCCAGGCAGGAGGGAGCAGTCAAGTATGTTTGATGTTGCAGTAGAGGTCAAGTTAGATGAGGAAAGGGATGTGACATGTTCATCTAGACACAAAACCGAGTGAGAATGGAAGCCAGATTGGAGCATGCCAAACTGGAGGAAAGTGAGGAACTGTAGATAGCAAATGTGTACAAAAATGGTTCCAAGGTTTTTGCTATGAAGGACAGCTAAGAAATGAGACAGTATCTAAGTAGGTATATGGGCTCACAGATCAGTGGTGTGCTTTTCAAGAGCTGGTGTATGGATGAGCGTGTATGTTGATGACAACAAACCTATAAGAAGATGTATTTGCAGGAGAAAAGTCCTTGACGGAGTAATATGACTTGGAACTTAAATATCCCCCGGGGGTCCATAGGCTAAAGACTTGGTGCCTAGCTTGTGGCACTACTAGGAGATGGGAGAATCTTTCCTCTGTCATGCCTCCAACTGTGGTGTAATGTTTCACCACAGGCTTGAAATCAACAGGGCCAAATGAGCATGGACTGAAACCTCTAAAACCATAAAGCAGTTAATTCTTCCATCAATCTCAGGTATTTTGTTACAACAACAGAAAGCTCAGCAACACAAAGAGCAAGAAGGAATGGGCTTGAGGTACACAAAAGTAGAGAACTTAGCCTTTATTAGAAGCAGGGAGACTGCCTTTGTACAAGGTGGGTGACAGAGTATGGGTTGGGAGGCAGGCAGTGGAGGGATGCCTGATAACACCTAAGCTCCAGTTTTATTCTTCATTGATATACCAAGTAAAGTCACCAATTAGAGACAAGAGAAGCGTAGCAGGAGTTGAGAGTTTAAGGAGGAAGATGTAGAACATAATCCTCTAGCGGTCAGACATGACACATTCAAGGGAAATCTTGCATAATGGCCACCACATGCCAAAAGCTCACTTGGGCTTTGTAGCTATTGGTTTTTGTGAGGAGGAAGTAGAGAGTTAAAGTTCTATGGAGTGAAAGAGTCATCAACTGAGAGTATTTGCAAAGAAGTGTTTATATATGGTGGTTATGAAAAAAGATGGTGGATAGTGAACAACTGTCACTCATTTAAAAAATCGCCTCTATCTTTAAATTTTTTTCTATTTAACTTCTTTTTTATTTAACTTTCTTTTCTTCTTTCCCCTTCTTTCCCTAATTGAAACTTGGTTGACCCCTAAGAAAATCACTTGGTAATCTGAGTCATTTTCAAGTGCAGGCTGCTTCTCCTTTGACATGTATGGACATGAAAAGCTGGGATTGGAGTAGATTACAAAACTTCCGATTGTCAGCTAATCTGAAGATCATATTCTCAGACTGTGTAACCCTCTACTTTCCTTTGGCAGAGATGCTAGCTTGTTTTGAAACATCCTGTCTTCCCTTCTTTTATAATAGTAAAATACTCAAGTAGGCATATGATCACTCAGAGTGAGCGCTTAATGTCTCAATCTCCCTTATAGTTAAGGATGGCCAGGTTCTAAATTCTGGGCAGTGACAGAAGAAGCACTTGTCTTAAGAGTCAGCTGGTTCCTTTCCACTGCTCAGAATGCCCATCGAGCTCTACCTGGGGTCATAGTGAAAAGGGTCACAAAAGGGGGATGATGAATTCAAAAAGTAGAAGGAGTGCAAGTTCCTGAGAACACTAGGGGAGGTCCTAGGCTAGTGATGGTGAACCTTTTAGAGCTTTCAGTGATGCACATAGCCCACTGTGGCAATGCGTGCCATAGCTTCATCACCATTGTCCTAGGCATTGATATAGTTTTTAAAGTTCTCTAGATATTTCTTGCAGGAAATCAGTTTAAGTAGCCTGGTTGTCCTGGGCTGTAGCATCTTCAATAACAGCATCACTTCTAAAATCTTGATTTTGAAGTATCCCACTTACTCTCATATAACCACACCCTAGACATCTACCCCATTTCCTCCAGGGCCACTACTTAAAAGATTCTCCCACTTCTACAAGACCTCCAGTTACCCAACTGCGCACGCTGAGTGTAGCTCTCACCACCAAAAAGATTAAATTGTGTTAATAAGCCATGATTTAAGAATCTGTGAAGAAAGG